TTCGCCTTTACGTTCGAGGGAGTGCCTGTTATCACCAAGCCCACTCCGCTAGCCTATGCTTCCCTGACCGACTCGTGACGGGCTGCTTGTCATACCTCGCTTCTGCAACGATCCTCTGTCGTTTATGGTGGCGTGCTTCAGAGGTCATATGTACTGACGTGGTGTGATTCATTCTCCGCGCGTTGATCTCGTAATAGTCTATCGTACGCGTTTATGTCAAGCAAGCACACCGATTCGTATATCTTGCTTACTTCTTGCCCACTATCTGTATCTCTCTGCTCCGTGTTTTTGGTCACTCCACTCAGAATTTTAGAGGTTACCAGAGATGTCTGCGACTCGTTCGTAGGTGGTGTGTACTCGCACGTCCCTCCCCCCCCCTGTGTCCATGCTCGTACCTCTATCTGGTGGCGGATTTCTCGTGATGAGTCTTTGCGCTTTCTTGTTCTCCTCATTATGGTACTTTGATTTCTTTGACATCATTTTAAAAGACTATTAGTAGTACGAACACTCTTCCTGACCTAAAAAAAAAAAAAAAAAATAAAAATAAAACATAAACACTGCCAGGATCGTGACGGTGCGATCACTATAAGAGAAAGAGTACATGCGTACCTAATGGGCCTGAGTGGGTGTGTGTGTGTGTGTGTGTGTGTGTGTGTGTGTGTGTGCGTGCGTGTGTGAAAGGCGCGCGTGTACTTGTGCCAGACCAATGAGAACACTGTCATAGCGAAGAAGGTTGATCCACATACACACACGCGCGCACACACACATACCCATACCCATACACATTCGATCAAACAAGCGCACATAGTACACACAGAGTACACAGACACAGACAAACACACACGCGAACACCCACACATGCATTCGCACAAACGCGCACACACACACACACATCAAACACACAAGCGCACCACACACTCAAGCAAACACGCACACTCAAGCAAACACACACACACACACATGCATACGGACACACCTCGAGTAACCAAGCCCTGGTTTGCTGGTGTTACTGTGATGTGGCTGCTCCGACCGACCAAAGGACCAACCACTGTGTTGGTACGGCAGCCACCATGCATGCAGGAGCAATGTCCGAACGTCACTCCATCACACAACGGCGACACCACCCCACCGTCATGCCCTTTCCGCACAGTATGCGGCATCACCCACCCGCGACCGTTTTGCAGGGTGGTGTGAAAATTCCACACACTTAAGCCCCTGCGCGTGTTTCTGTTCGACGCATGGAAAGCGGACACACGTGTGTGATATCGAGCGCACGTGAGATGCAGCAACGAAGGGAAGAGGCACGTGTGCCTCGCGTGCATGGGCATATGCAAGCACAATTGATGTGTAAAGCCACCCCAGTTCAAGACCTGATCTGCCGCACACACAGCACGGAACACGTCGCCTCAGATCCTCATGCTTGACGTTGTTGGTGCAGTCCAGTGCGCAGATCCTCGAGCCCTCAGGTCCTCATGCCACACAATCGCTCAGAAGCCCACCTGAGTGCACCTGCAGAGCAGCAAGAGAAGCCAAGAGCGAGAGTCGATACGAATGTCCTGCTTACGTCCTCTTCTGTGTCCCGCCAGCACAAGGAAAATGAAAATTCATGTTGGCTTGGCTTTGGTTGGCAGCTGTGGCTCCCTCATTCCTCCCTTTCTCACTCACACCCCACCCCAGATAATGTGTACTGCTTCGTTGTTCGGGTGGGTGTTGGCGATGTCTTCGCGTGCGTGCTTCTGGTCGCCAGGAGAGGGTAACACGGGGTAGCGGGCATGGGTGAGTGTGCGTGTGCTGCACTACTCGCGTTGCCACCATGTAAGTCAAACTCACCATCGTCACAACAGCTTTCATCATCTTGTGGTGTTTTTGCTCACAACTGCTGGCCGAAAATTGGCCATGAACAAACCACAGCCGAGGAGACACATGCACCCAAGAATGATGGATGGAGAGGACACGATGAGGCCGCCAACAGGAGGAGCAAACAGGAGGAGCAACGCAGGAGGGGGGGGGGCAAAGATAACGGGAGGAATGGAGAGCGAGGAGGGGAACAGGAGGAACAGGAGGAGGAAGAAATTGGGGGGGGGGGGAGGTTGGATGCAAAAGAGAAGAGAACAAGACAAGAAGACAAGCAGCCACGCACAACACAACGTCTGGATACGGGAATACAGCAAAGGACAGAAGGCGGACATACTGACATAAGGGACTGCAAGGGACAGGAGTAATATAATAGCGCACACGCACGCAAAACAAAGAAAGAAAGAAAGCAAGAAAAAGAACACGGCTGTCGTGTGCCACAAAGCACAAGGCAGCACACTGATGCACCAGTCAGCCAGTACAAACACCGCCATACCCTCATGCCAGCATCATGAGCACACCACAATCACGGCTGTTGATGAGTGTGAGGGCCGTCGCATGATAGATTTGACGATTCCGCCAAACCAACGACAGTTTGAAAGCTCCAGCTGGGTTTGTGTTGTGCATGCACATGTGTGTGAGGAGTTGGATACGAATAGGAAAAAACCGCGACAGCGTGTGACAATGCACCACACAGGCACTGTTACAACAACAACAACAACAACAACAACAACAACAACAACAACGCCATGGACGTCCTCTTCCAGCATTCCTACCCCACAGCTACGTCATAATTGCAAGCACAATCACAAATACATACGCACGCACGCACACACGCACGCGCGCGCGCGCGCGGGCATCGCACTGTAGTGCAGGCCATGTAGCGGCGATCGCCGACGCCACACACCCACTTCTCCCAACCCAGAAACTACGGTGCCATGACACCGCTCACCGTCAAATGTCTGCAATGCGACGCGTCCATCCACGGTGCACGAGCGCGCGGCTGCCAAGCCCGCATGCCCAAACAATTTAAGACTTAAGCCCCCGCCCGCGCATACACGAACCTGCGCGCGCGTAAGTGCATGTGTAACATTCAGCACACGTGAAATGCAAGAACGGACTGCACGCCAGGCACGTGCATGCACACGTACGACCACAGTTGGAGCCACCACAGTTCAACATCTGATCGATCTACACGAAACGACTCTCAACGCAAACGCACACTCACCTTGTGGCTCACAAAACTCCAAAGCTTGTGTTCCAAATGAAAGGCAGGCACTCTCCACAGTGTGCGCACGCTCAAGCAAAGCTGCAATTGGCCCTGTCGTCCCCGACCGCCAATTAATCCTCCATCCGACTTTCGGTGGAGTGCAGTGCTCGCACAGCAGCAAAAATAAGACGCACTGTCTCTGTCTGTGTCTGACTACGGTCAAGCAGGCAGCAGATGGAGACAAGGGCACATAGCCCCGCTCCGCCCCCGCTCAGCGCACGCTTGCACCGCCTGTGTGTCTAATCTGCTTCGTCTGCCAAGCAGTTCCAGCTCCTGAAACCTGCTACGTTGGTGTTGCCGCATGCCAACCCAGAACCCACATCAAACGCCACGCGTTAGCACATGCACACAACGACAAGGCTAAGGGACAAGGCTGAGTCCCAGCACACAAACAGTGACAGGGACAGAGAAGTGGTTGAGGAGGAGGACGGTGAAAGAGAATGAACAAGTGAACAAGGGAAGAGGGGTGACTGGGCCACGGTCTGTGGAGGGTATGTCAAAGCACACCAGCAAAACAAACGCATGTGCAGCACCCCGAAAGGAAAAACAAGGCACACACATACACACATGTATGTACACATGTACACACAATCACAAATATACACACATATATGCATCAATACAACGCATGCAAACATGTAACAGGCGGCAAAGCCTCCGACAAACCCACTTACACGAACATGAAGAAGGTACGAACAGACGTGCACGTGCACATGTCCCGTGGAAGACGCGCGATAATGCACCGTCATGCTCTCATGCTGCATGGGGCAGAACTGCGGCCAAGGTGCATTGTGATTCTGTGGTGCCTCCCTCAGCTGCACCTTGTGACAGCGTCACAACAAACATGCACACACACACACACAATGCATGTCTCGTCACGTGAGCTAACCAGCAGAAGGAGGAAGCGCACGCCAACACACCCAGCAATTCAAACACATGAGGAGAAATGCAATGAGCAGGTCCACAAAACAAACACACGTGCAGACACACACACACACACACACACACACAAATGTATGTACACACACAAATGCGAATGCACACGCACACGCGCGCACACACACACACACACACATGCGAACGCGCGCGTACCTCATGTGTAGCATGTTTGGTGTTGGTGCGTCGAGGAGGCGTGTGGCAGATGCGGTGATTGAAGGATTGATCCCGTCCGCTGCTCTCTTGCTTCTTGGGTGCATTGCGTCTGATTCCAAGACAGAACAAAGACAATTGGCAACTCAATGAACGACCTGAATCTCATCAAGCTTCAAGACACAGAGAAAGAGAGGAGAAGAGACGGAATGCAAACAGTTGGCCCCACGTCCATACGTGCGTGAGGGGACCAAGGAGGGTTCAACAGACACAAACCACGACAGCAACCTTGCACATGGAGAGGAAATCAAACAAAACAAGGAGCAGTGACAACAGCACATGAAAGAGGGATAAACACACCCTTCTCCCTCTTTTTCGTTTCTTCCCTTTCATACAACGCCTTGTTGGCATGGCAGACTAAGGCTCAGGCTAAGTACTAGGCTACTCGAGAGAAGTCGGCATCACCCTATCACCCAAACAACTAAATAAAGAAAGGCCCCCGCAAGAGAAGACACCACCAAGCCACATAGAAGGGCTTGAGATGAACACCATGTCACCGGACCAATGAAGGCTGGTGTTGGACAGTCACATCGCATCAGCATCACATCACATCCTCTCACATCAACATCACATGCAACCACGAGAAAGGAACCAAGGAAGGGGAAGGAAGAAGAAGAAACAACACCTTCAACCAAAGAATCCATGCATCAAAACAACAACGAAATTTTTGGTTGCGTGGCCCAGCAGCAAGGAGCAAGGCAAGAGCGGCAGCCTTCTCCTCGAGCTCGCTTTGCAGCAGAGCACAACGCAACGCAAAAGAAAACAAACCACCGCGCCCCCTCGCCCCTCCCCCTCGCCATCAGGCTGGGACAAGCTCAGAGACAGCACAGAGACAGGACACACTTGCTTGCCTTGTCTCCTTGTCCTTTTCCTCTTCCTTCGCTTTGCGGCCTTGGAGTTCTTCTGTTCTTGGATCGCCCACCAGCCCACCCATCCATTCAGCCATCCGCGATAGGAGGTGCGAGTGGGTGCTGCTTGCAACAGGCTGTGAGTGGCGCTAGGGCGCTGTGCGCTTTGTAAGTCCGTCGCTCCCGGTGCTCGCCCCTCGTCACACCGTTGCTCCATAGCAAAGAAAGCTGTCGTACAGCAGAAGAAAGAGCAGAGAGCACAGCAACCTGCTTCATCCCCTTGTTCGTGTTGGGTGCTGAAGAAGCGTTCCACTTCGTTCACTGACGGGCTGCTGATGATGCCCTAGCTTGACGATGCCAGTACGTTGCTGTGTGGTCAGCTTTGAGTCTGCTCTGGTGGAGCTGTGTTCTGTTGTGTGCTTGCATGGGCAATCGCCTCCTCGTGCTCAACACCACATGGGGTGGTCCCCATCACCACACACGACACAAAACCTTCGAGTGTTGTTGCTGAGTGTGCTGCTGCTCTGCTGCTGCTGCTGCTGCTGTAGCAACGTTGTGCCTGCACTGCTCTGATTGGTGTTGTTGCTGTTCCTCTCTGCGCCGGTTGGCGTATCGTTGCCCTGTCACTGTAGCAACAGGTGCGCTTGGCTGGCCACTTGTTGCGTTGCTGTGCTGCCGCAGGGTTGCTGCAGACTGCTGTGCTTGCTGTAGGCGAGGGCTGTGGTGGGGCGTATGGCAGGCCATATATAAGCATGCAAAGGAACCGCCGGCGGTTGCTCTTTCTTTCTCTTTCAGTCTTCTAGTCGATGTCTCTCCTCTCCCCCTCCCTCTTCTGTTGTCGCATCCATCGCCCTCTTGTCCCATTCAACCAGCGCGTGCGTCTCAGCTGTGTGCAGTGTCAACCGGAAGAGATGGTCTGGTCGCTTGGCACCAGAACAGAACACAAAGCTCTAAAGCTGAAGAAAAGGGATCAAACCCGAGGTTTTTCGTGTGCTGCGGAGCGGGCAGGTTCGCTCTGTAGCTGCTGGCTGGTTTTTTGTGTTTGGCTTGCGAGGGTGGCTTGCTTCTGTTGGGTGTTTGCATCATGTTCATGGTGGCTGCAGGGCTGTTGGGTGTTTGCATCATGTCACAACAACAAATTTTATGTCGAATCTGCTGCTCTCAAGCACAACAACAAATTTTATGTCGGGACCAAACCTTCACCAAAAGCAAGCCCAAGTGTGCAAGCACAAGCAACCACGACACACGGACGAATGAGTGACGTGGGTGGCGTTGTTGATGCTTTCACCAATATTCGCTTGTGCCTTCGCTCCAACGCGTCATGACCAAAGGTTAAACGCGGGGCATATTGGACATACACACACATTCCAGCCCTTCGCGTGTCGCTCGTGGCGGCGCTGCTGTGCGCTTTCTCGCTCTTTGTTTGCACGAATTTAGGCTTGTCTGTTGTGGTTTGGTTTGTCTCCAACACCACACAACAAGCAAGGCGGCAGGCGACGGCACACCTGTACAGCGCTACAGCCAAAACACCTAAAGACGAAAAGCCCCACATGAATGTCTGCTGTTTTGTTGCGGCAATGTTGGGTGGGCTTTCGTCCTGACGCCGCACTTCCCTTCCCTTCCCTTGCTGCTGTCCACTTTCTTCTGCATCAAGGTTGCGTCGCGCAACCCAGCCAGTTGCTTTGCCACCAACCCACCTATCTTAGTATCTTCTCCACCACAGCTGCACACCACAAGACAAGCCGTCCCACCTCCTCCTTGCGTCGCAGATCAAAATCAAACACAACACCGCACAACAAACACCGCACAACAAAGACAGCAGCAGCGCATCCTCACTGCATTCCAACAGTGATGGTGCTCGACACTAGCCATTTTCTCCAGTCCCTCAACTTCAAAGTGCTCAAGTGCGTGCCACTTGCTACTCTGCCGCACGCACTACCCGTCGTCATCGCATTCTCAAGAGCATACGTCCAGAGACAGAGGAGACGCCAAGCTGTGAAAGCCGTCCAACCCACTCACCACACCGGCACCGATCCAGGACCACACCGAGAGCACGAGGAGTGGCGAACAACCCGGAAGAACGCGCCTCGCGCATTCCTTAGTCCACAAACGGACAAACAAACAACCGCTGTACCAGCAGCACCATGGACACCCCAACACCAACATCGGAGGGCGTCGCCACCTACCACACATACCTGGATGGCCTCGTCCAGCAAGCAGGCACCCTTACCAAGCCCACCTGCTGCCGCACAAGCCGCTCCGCAGCAGACCTCGACCTCAGCGCCGTTCCTTTTGCGCCAAGCATGTGCAGCGGTGACAGCGGCAGCGGCGGCTACTCGCAGCTGTATGCAGAGTACTCCCCATCCCCTTGCCTGCATGCAACGGCAAGCAAATCCGCAACATCCCCCACACCAACAACATCCGCCTTCTCCACGCTCAACACCAATTCCACCATGATGGCAGCCTTGGACAGCGGCTTTGGCATCATCGACGACACCAAGAAGGACACGTCGATGACACCATCATCCCCGCCATCATCCTCATCATCATCGGTGTCTTTATTCCACGCATCCAAGTCCTCCAACAGCATTGCTACTTCCCAACAGCAGCACCAGCAGCAGGCAGCACCGTTCTTCGACTTTGACACTGCACTGGCAAGCCCCCGCCTCCGCTTCGAAAGCACAAGCGACAACATCTTCCACTTTGATGATGATGTTTTCCCCACAACAACAGCAGCAACAGCGACGGCAGATGGCGGTGCCATCAACGTCGGCGCCACTGATTGCTCGCAGGGCCAGGGCAATGACGGTGCCTTCCTGCCTGCGTTCACATTGAATAGCGACGTCCCGGTCGAGCAGCTGCTGAGCCATGCAGACATGAACATGCTTGACGCAGCCCTGGAGTCCTTCCTCTCCCCCACCTCCACCTCCTCGCCTACGGAAGAGCGACAGGCGTCGGCGGCATCGTCGGCGTCAGCACTGTCTGCCGCGTCGTTCTCATCCAGCAGCAGCGACGCTGAAGATCCCATCCCTCTACAGTCCACATCGCACACAACCACAACCTCTTCCTTCTCCTCCTGCCCCTTATCCTTGCCGTCATCACAAGCGCAACATCGCACGTTCATGCAGGCACAACCCAGCAGCAGCACCAACAGCAGCAGCAACAGCAGCGTGCGCGCCAAGGGCACAGCAAGCACGACGATGCGCGGGCGCAGTGCCATCAACAAGCGGTGTGTGCTTGAGAACGGCGAGATTGACCACGAGAAGCTTGAGCGCACGCGAGAGATTGCGCGCCGCAGCTACTGGCGCCGCCGCAACCGGGAGCTCACCGGCCGCCGGACGGTGCGCCAGCGCCTGACGCTGCTGAACAAGACCAAGGACCTGCTTGTGCAGAAGCGTCAGCGGCTGTTGAAGGAGCGGCAAGCACTGCTGGACCACGTGCGGCAGCACCTCCACACCCTCCACCCAATCGGCACCATCGACCAGCACCCGTCGCCACTCTTCTTCTAAGTTGCACGTGTGATGGACGTGTGGTGTTGGTATGTTGTCTTCTCGCCCCCGTCGGAGGACACTTGTTACTGGGTGAAGCGATCCCTGTTGTTGTTTCGACTGCGCATCTGCGTTCACGGCATGCTGAAGTAGTGAAGTGATCCACGCCTGCTTGTTTTGAGTGACATGGTTAACTTCTATGTATCTTCACTGACCATCATCATCATCATGACTTGTGGCTTGTGTACATTGTCACTTTGTTGCTTGCTTCTCTTGTGTATTGCCTTGTTGTGGAGCAGTCTTGCCTTTGGCGAACGAACGTTCTTACGTTGCCGCATTGGGTGTGTACTGTTTTGTACTGTCCCTTGCGCCATGCTGCATGACAGGTCGTTCGCACCTTTCTATCTCTTTTATCACTGATGCCATTGTTACAGCACTTGTCTGTGCATGCTTTCCTTAACCTGGTCATTCGGTCCTTATTCTGCCTCTTTATTTCACTTATTCTGTTGGCCACTCGATGTGGCGACGTTACACGACCCAAAACACAATACGCGCGTAATCGTTGCCAACGAATTTTGTTCGACACAACGTGAGTTAGGGGCGTATGAGGAGTCACGCGCAAGTCACGCGCAAGTCCACGGAATGATGTTTTGTTCGTATGACAAGAAGTCGCGCCAACACCATTGGGTCAGGGCCGCCGCTATGTTCATAACTCACACAACTGATGTGATGATAAGCATTTTTGTTTTTCGTCAGCTGAACGTTCTCTGGTGGGCGCAGAGTGCTCAGGTTCAGTCACATCACGCCGCGACGCAACTGAGTCACTGCTTCCTTGCGCAGCTCACCGTCAATTTGTTCATGTGTGGATTGTCACCCTTTATTCGCTGCGGGCTTCAGGGACACAGGACTCTCGCCACGGCTGCTGTTGTTCAGTGTCATGCTATGCTCCAGCAACGCACTGCATATCAGCTGGCACAGAAGCGAGGGCAGGGTGTGCACGTTTGGATTTGCCTGGGTCCCTCTTTCCGAGTCGCGTCTCACTTGAAGTTGCATTACAAAGAACAAGAACAACAAGACGAACCCCCCCCCCCCCCGAGAAGAAAACAACCGCATGCTTATCTGTCTGTGGTTCAGTACCCACAACCCCTGAGAAAGAAAAAAGGAACTAGAGAGAAGCAGCAATCACGTACACGGGGAAAACAGGGGCACACCACGTGAATATACCAACACCAACGGACGGTTCGTGATGGTTCAGACCCAAGATACTTGAGGCCTGGAGTGTTGCGGCATGACGAGATATCGGTCCTGGTGGTGTACAGTCGTTGGCGGCGCACAATCAGTGAGACGGTTGTGTGTGTGTGCGCATCAAATATAAGCAGATCAGGCCCAGATGCTCATGCATGGCATGCAGCGAGTCTCACCCTGAGTCTCCGCGGTGAGCTGACGGATATCGTGGTCTCGTCTTGCCTGTGGTTATGAGCAAAGCAACACAGGAAAGCATCGCATCATTGTCAGCCCAGGAACCGCACAAAGTTGCACGCTTGAAGGGAATGCAAGCAAAACAAGCGGATGGCGAGAAACTCAACCCACACGAGCACACGCGTAAGTGAACTGACGATCGGAGACGGCGGAGCGTGAGGGCATCGGATGTCTTGTGCATTGCGTTGAGAATGTCGAAGTAAGTGGCGACGCGCTGCAATTCAAACTCGAGATATTCCTGCTTTGTTTCCCATTGCTGTTCACAGAAGAAAGGGGCGGGGCGGATCAGCAAAACCACGAGCCAACATATGATACATTTGCATGCAAACAACCAAACCACGTGATGGGTGCACTCACTCTTCCACACAATTCAGACCCCAATCTGCACACCTGCCAAGATCGTTTGCCTTGTGATTTGGCAGCGCGTTCCTCGGATTGGTGGACACTGTGGACAAGACATTGCGCAGTGAGAAGAGGGCGAAGATGGCGGTGGCCACAACCTGCCTCGAACCCAGGCCCAAACACAATTCATGTGGAGGCAACAGGCGCCCCAAACAGCAAAGTCGTACGGCAGATGTTCACGGCCCTTGTCCTCGCACCTGAGCTGATCGCGGAGTTGCCGGAGTTGCGCACGGTAGCGCGCGACTTGTTCTTCGAGCGTCTCCGATGACCTCGACATTGGCAGAACCGGTCGCTGTTGGCGGCGGAGGAAATTAAAGGGGCAGGCGATGCAAGGAATGTGATGGAAGGGCACAAGGGACAAGAGAGGGACACCCAAAACTGATGAACACCCAGACGCAAGCACTGGCAAAGACAAACACACAGACAAAGGAAAGGAGCAGAAAGAAAACGATCAAACTCTCGTGTGCAGCAACACCGCCACAGACAGACAGACAGACGGAGCCATACATGCTCACCTGGAACCCACGCTGTGATGTTGCCGGTGCCGGCAGTGGCGGAGCCGAGGAAGTAGCGGCAATGGTGTTGATGCGCGTAATCCAGTTGTCCATGCTGCCACTTGTCCTACACACGGAGAGCGAGAGCAAGAGCAAGCACAACAAGAGCAAGACCAACAACGACAAATACAACAAGAACGCCCACACCAAGGGGAGCTGATGAGCAGCAATCAAACTCTTTTCAACCCTTGCTGCCTTTGTTGAGCATTGGTGTGTTGCGGTGTTTCATCGAGTTCAGGACACGGCGTTGGTTGAAACGCACGGAACGGTGAAGAGCATGCGCCGGCCCGTCGCTGTCGTCAATTCGAACACGTGGTCACGCTTGGTGTACTCCAGCGCCCGCCTGTACGCCCAAGGTTGGTGATGCTGCGCGTGAATGCACCAAGGTATGCGGGCGTGTTCATGTGGCAAAGCACAAGACAGCAGGGGAACACGAAACCGCAGGTGGTCTTACCTGCAGAACGCGTGGTACAACAGCACAACATCATAGACATTGTGCCCGTAGTCTTGAATGGATCGCGGCTGCAGACGCGTCAAGGGAAAAACAAAACCACGGACACAACGCCGGCGAACATGCGAGCGAGCGACCGAGAGAGTGTGTGTATGTGTGTGAACATGCAGTGGAAAGTGAAGCGATGGCAGATCGAAACACACTTAGCAGTGAGAGAACAAGCATGTGTGTCATGAGTCGCGCAGTTGCATGAGTGTGCATGTGTTCATGATCTGTATGAACCTGGAAGGATGACTTGTGGAAGATCAAGTACCGCCCACAGATGGCAGCATGCAGCGTCCTCCAGGCGCGGTGGCGAAAGGAGGTCCGTGCTTGAAAGGCATCAAAGGTGTCTTTCCTGCCATGGTGTAATGCGTTGGTATGAGGACGTGTGTGAGTGCGTGAGTGAGTGAGTGAGTGCGTGAGTGAGTGAGTGCATGTGCGTGAGTGCGTGTGTGTGTGTGAGTGAGTGAGTGAGTGAGTGAGTGAGTGAGTGAGAGAGTGTGTGTGCGTGTGTGAGCGCAGAAGCGATGGCAATTGTTTCCTACTGTTGGATGATTTCTTCGAGCGTCGGAGGCTCGATGGGTTCGCCAAGAAAGAATGCATCGAGGACACGCGAAGGCCGTCCCCGCAGCTGTGCCGTCGTCGGGTAGCGGCGGCGGATGAGAGGAGGGCGCGGGTAGGGTAAATGAGTATGCCATTGGCGAGACTGGCACGCGCAGATGTACCATTGCAGAGCGATTGGAGGTGTGTGGAAGCATATGATACACATGTATCACTTACAACGGAGAAGGAAGGTCTGCCTGCGTTGTCCTGTTGAGCGCCATGTGATGCGGCTGTCTTGTCGTGTGTCGCCACAGGCACCAGCTGCTCAGCCTTGATGCTGTTGTAAATGTCCTGACACGCAATCAGCACCACAATTATCGAGCAATGAGTTTGTGTGTGTGTGTGTGCGCGCGTGTGTGTGAGTGTGTGCGAGTGGGTGAGTGCGTGGGTGAGTGAGTGAGTGAGTGTGTGTGAGTGAGTGTGTGAGTGCGTGGGTGAGTGAGTGAGTGTGTGAGTGCGTGGGTGAGTGAGTGAGTGTGTGTGTGTGTGTGTGAGTGAGTGAGTGAGTGTGTGTGTGTGTGTGGATATGTGTGTGTGTGTGTGGATGTGTGTGTGTCAAAACATACTTGGAGAAGTTGGCGGGGAAAGTCCGCGCCGTCATTCAGGGCAGCCAGGTTGTAGATGAACTGATCTTGACGCATGCGACGGGTATTGTTCTGGAAGATGCAACAAGCATACACCAAGTGCTCGTGAGGTTGCAGTGGCGTCGAGCAAGATGGGGCGCCGTCCAGTCACGTACCACGGTGCGAGTCGCCGGGCGAGAGGGAGGGAGGGAGAGAGAGAGAGAGAGAGCAACAGTCACTCTGTGCACCACAAACACGCCCCCCCACACACACGCACACTCTCTCTTTCCCTCCCTCACACCCGCGCACATGTTCTCTCTCTCTCTCTCGCACTCCATGTCTCATTGTTGCTTACTGGCGTGTGCAAGTCTGTGTTGAGGAGGAGGATGGCCATGGCCAGGGCGTGGATGGCATCCACACTGTATTCTGTTGGGTTTTGCTCACAGTACCGCTCTGCAAAGCCTGTCGGATAATCATGGAGAGAGGTGCCGTTAGCTCAGCAACAAGCAAGTAGCACGTTGACGGGTCACTGGCAGTGATGACGCCGATAAAGGTGGTTGCGTGACAACATCAAATTGTGTCACCTCCGCATGCACATGCGTGATGATCCTCGCGTAGACGCATGTGGGACACGGACTTACTGTACATGATGCGGTCGATCTCCTGTGCCTCTGCGTTGAGGGCAAAGTGAGACAGGAAGCGCCTGATCGCCGACACAATGTCCTGTGCCTTGAAATCAAACAGCTGCAGGTAGTACATGCATACCAAGCGTTCATACTTGGACCTGGTGTTGTGCGTGTGTGAGTGAGTGTGTGAGTGTATGTGCGTGAGAGAGTGAGTGAGTGTGTGAGAGGGTGGCGTGGGAATAGACATGCGTTTGTGGTGCAACAGGCGCACAACGGAATGAGCACGATCCTTCCTCCACGAACGTACTCGGCTCCGATGACGCGCGCAATTTCGTCCTTGTTGATACCCCTGCCCTCATACATGCTGTGTGCTGTCTCTCGTGCGCGTCTGCGCTCCTCTGGGCTCACCCCAGCCTCTTGCCGTCGACTCATAGTCGTCGTCACAAGGCGAAGATGTGTGTGTGTGTGTGTGTGTGTGTGTGTGTGTGTGTGTGTGTGTGTGTGTGTGTGTGTGTGTGTGTGTTGTCGTTGGCAGTGCACCAGCACAACAGCACATTCCAACAACAACAACGAACGGATATGGGCAATGTTCATTTTATGGTGTCGGGTGTGGGGAAGCCAGAATGATGATGAACTGAACGGACGGACGGACGACGGTGGCAGCTCTCACGCGTCTCTCATGTTGACACGACGTCACATGTCACAACACAACACACTCGCTGCAACACCATGCACAGGCGCAACAGCAACAGCAACTCGCAGCATGCACAACAACCAACGCAAGCACGAACAACGAACAAAGAGGCAACTCGCAAGGGCACATCATTATGATGCGGTCTTGGCAGAGCCGGGCGTGTGGGAATCAAGGCGTTGGAGCAAGGTCTCCGAGTACCCTGAGCAGGAATGACAGCAGAAGGGCAAGGCGAACATGTGGAGGGATGCTTTGAGTGTGGTGCTCAGACAGCAGTGGAGCGCACAGGCTGTACAGAGAGAGCACACAACTGTCTCCACACGGAGGACGACGAAAAATGCAAAACCACAAACACACAGACACACACACAGACACACACACAGACACACACACAGACACACACACATGCACACGCCTACCTGGGCTGTAATATCGAACAATCTCCTCTGGGAAGCACTCATTGATGGTCAGGATTGCCTCGCTCAGGTCAGAGCCTTCCTCCGCTTGAATCTCTTGAATCTGACATGGGTGTAGTGGGCACGTGAGTATGGGAAAAGGAAGTGGGCATGCTACAGTGTAGCACGCACACAATTGAGAAGCACAAAGGCAAACACACACACGCACACACGCAAACCCACCCACACACACACACACACACACACACACACACACACACACACACACGCACACACACACGCACACGCACACATGCAAAACCCCTCTCGTCGCCCCCTGCCGTCCTCAATTGTCTCTCATACGCATGCACAGCGTAAGCGCCACAACACCTTCTTGAGGCCGCCAGAGGTGACAAATTGCTTGCGCGCCTTTGCATCAGAGGGCAGGATCTTGGCAAACTGCGCCACAACATTCTCCAGCACGCTCGGCGGTGCATCCGCAAGCAGTGCTGGTGTTCGCGCGCAATGAAGGCGCCAAAGACGAGGGGCAAGCGTGGTTGTGAGAAGAGCAGAGGGAGAGTATGTCACACGTGCGACAGTCGGACACGGATGCATCAGACACACACGCACGCGCACATGCATCAAACACACCACACCACACACACACACATACACACACACACACCACATCACACACACAACACAACACATCACACACACACAACACAACACATCACACACACAACACAACACATCACATGGATACACAACATACACACACGCCAACATAGTTTGTGGTGTGGTACCTTGCAGGGCGGGCATGTGGGTGCACTTCTGGAGAATGTTCTTGAGCGCACGCGATGCCTTTGCTCGAAGATCATCAGACGCGGCTGGATCCATCGTGCATGCAAGCAAATCAGGCAGCACGTTTGCCTCTGCAACGTGGCGGGCGTGCTCGGGGGTGTGCCTGCCAATCTGGCCCAGGCTCCACGCTGCTGCTGCGCGGATGTGCGATTCCGCCTCTGTGTGCAGGGCGTGGGCGAGCGCGGGCACCCCGTGCGAGACAACCACGGACATGGCAAGCCGCTCAGAGAACGCAGAAATGTACCCTGGCAGTGTGCGTGGGTGTTGTAGTTTGTGTTGTGTTGTTTTGGTGTGCATGTGCGTGGATGTGAGAGCTGTGAGCTCCAAACAATCAGCATAGCATTGAGCGCAAACACAAACACGGCGAGACACCACTGCCAACGCCCTCTACCATCCCCGCCTCCACCCCTCCCCGCCTCCCTCCCTTCTCCAAACCACCGTGCATGCACCCACCGAGGGCCATGATGCCTGGCATTGCGCCGCTGCCGGCCGAGTCGTTGACGTAGTCCACGAGGGCAATGACACCGCCAGAGTTGACAATGAGCTGCGCAAGCTCCGACGAGTGCTTGGCGACCTCCCTGATCAGCATGGCCACGTTCTTGCGCACATACTCGTCGGGATCTGGGTAGATGGTGTGTGTGTGTGTGTTTGTGTGTTGTGCGAGAACAAGGTGTGAGATGGCGTAAGGACACGAGGGAGGGAGGGAGGGCCACCGCAGGTTAGGTCTCAACGTGTGGCACACGCTGACACCTGCATCGACAAACAGACGGACACTCACACGCACGCGCGCAGATACAGACAAACACAAAAACAAAACACAAAACACGTACACGCACACATACTGTGTCTCCAAACATGAAGCCATGTGCGGACCTTTGAGGGAGGGGAGGACGGCAGGGAAGATGTAGGCCTCGACCACGAGCTCAGCAAGGTCAACCGTGTGCTTGGCAATCTGCAAAACAGGCGAGTGTAGTTGGGATGCGTGGTACGATGTGGGACAGTGCGATTTGAGCGTATGTCACCACAAACCAATGCGCACACAAGGGCAATGCAACACACACACACACACACATGTGCACGCAGTACACACACACACACACACACACACACACACACACACACACACACACACACACACACACACACACCAAACACATCACAGACCAAACACATGCGGACACCCAACACATGCACACACACACACACACACACACACACACACACACAACACATCACAGACCTGGCTGAGGGCGGAGAAGACCTGGCGCTTGAGCTTTGCGTCCTGCACCTCGAGGAGTTGGCTCAGATAGGCAATCGCGCCGCCGTCAACAACCGTCTGCGCAAGCTCGGGCGTGTGCTTGGCAATGTCCGACAGCGCAGAGGCAGATATCCGCTTCAGCGTCATCTCGGGCTCCTGCGGGAGGTGGGGGTGGGGGAAAGGGGGGAAAGTGATAGTTGGTGGTCGACGTGGTAATGGGTGGTTGTGGGTTGGTGCGGGGACGTATGTGAGGGATTGTTAGAGCCATGCAAGAATGGCAGATAGTGGCGCAACACATCAATGTCAAACTGCACATGCACATGTGTCCATGTTCTCTCTCCACAAACCTGGATGCAGAGGATAAGCAGCGGCACGGCACCAGCATCCACAACTGCCTGTGCAAGCTCTGTGCAAACACACACACACACACACACACAGCGGAGCAGAGAAGTTGAAGGGGAACACGAAGGTGAGTTCAAGGAGAAGGGTGTGTGTGTGTGTGAGGGGTGAAGCGAGAAATACAGGGAGCAACAAAGCCACACACTCACACACACACACACACACACACACACACCCACTCATTCTCACACATACACACACACCACACACACACACATACATACATACATACATACACACCACACACACATACACATACACACACCCACTCATTCTCACACATACACACACACATACACACACACCACACACACACACACACACATACATACATACATACACACCACACACACATACACACACATTCCCATGTCATCGCACCAGCGTTGTGCCTGGCAATGTAACCGAGGGCCCATGCTGCGGCCTCCTTCACACCGGGGTCAAACTCGTCCAAGCACGTCACCAGCGCACTCACAGCCCCGCTGTCAACAACAGCCTGCAGCAAATGGTCGAGGTTGGAAGTGGTGTGAGTGAGTGTGTGTGTGTGTGCCATGTGATGTGTGTGTGTGTGTGTGCCATGTGATGTATGAGAATGGAGAAAAGGACAACGGTGCAAACAATGCGTATTGCAAGCAGGAGCGCCATACATTGTGCAGCCGTGGTCGCAACCCACCATTGCTAGCTCAGGGCTGTGTTTGGCGACGGTGCGCAGGACAAAGGCTGCGGCCTTCTTGTAGAACCTGTTCTGCTCAGCGAGGCTGTACACGAGCTGGGGAAGGATGTCATCGTGGACAACGGCAGCAGCCAGCTCGTCGCTGTGGTTGGCAAGGCGGCCAAGCGCAAGGGCAGCCGTCTGCAGAGAGTACAACCACACACAGGTATCCCGCATGAGGTGGAACGAGTGCATGTGAGGGTGAGGATGCGCCAGGTGGACGACGTAAATGAACGTGGAACGTACAGCGGTGACACTCGCTGTTGACAGCAGAACAAACAGCATGTGTGTGCGAAGCAACCGCGCAAAGGAACAGCAATGCCATGCAGAATGCAGCTCATTCTCGCAACCATGGCTGCTTGCAGCCAGTCGATGACAGGCAAGCACCGTTGGTTGCACACGAGAAGCAAGTGATTACAACACATTCCGCAGCACATGATCAACAGTGGTCACAAGCAAGCCCACCCACCTGTTGAATTGTGGGCACTGTGTCAATCAGGAGGGGTCTGAGCAACGCCATCACACCTGCGAGGGTGGTGTTGTGTGTGAGAAGGATGGAGGGAAGATAAGAGTGGAGTGCGGCACATAATGGTGAAACAAACGATATGTTCGTGTCGGCGTCATGGGCGCAGGCATGATGCATGTCTGTGTGTGTGTGCACGCACGTACCGGCCTCGCGAAGGGCTTCGACATTTTGTGGCCGGGATGACAGATCTGCCACCGTCTGCACGAAGGACGCGCGTGCCTTTTGGTAGTTCTCAAACACTGCAAATGCCAACACGTGTTGTGTGTGTGTGTGAGTGAGTGAGTGTGAGTGTGTGTGTGGGTGCGGGAGTGAGAAGCTTTGTGAGTTTGGGACTTTGAACACACACACACACACACACAACGACACGTCGCCTATCTGGAATGCACAAAGACACACACACACACACACACACCTTGCAAGATCTGACGGGACGTCATCTTGTCTGTTTCGTGTGTGTGTGCGTGCGTGAAGGTGGGAAGCGGGTGGAGGTGGTGGCGGCAGAAGAAGGAAGGTGGGTGTGCTCGCTGCTGCTTGCTGCTTGTTGTTGTTGGCGTTGGCGGTGGTTGGCAACCAAAACAACGAAAATTACCCCAAATCATTCACCAATTGCCAAACCTTTTTGGGTGTGCGTGAATGAGTGAGCGTGAGTGAGTGAGTGTGTGAGTGTGTGTGTGAGTGTGTGTGCGTGTGTCTCGCTCTGTTGCTTGCTTGGCCCTTGTTGCTGTTTGCTTGCTGACTCCACAGCGTGTTCCATGCGTGGCAGGAACAAGAGCAAAGAAGAAGAAGAAAAACAAGAAGACGAAGACGAAGAAGGAAAGCTCAGAGCAAGCATACAGCACAGCAAACGCACAAAAAAGAGTACAAAGCAAACCAGGCAAGCAAGGACCACAAGGAGGAGAACACCAACTACAACGCCGAATCAAAGAACAACAATGCACAATGCTAGGTTGGGCACACTTTACAGTGCGTGCCTGTATGTGTGTCATGACCTTGTGTAAATGTGGTTGAACGTGACCACCCCAATGCACACCACAGACCACACAACCACGAACAAAATCCAGCCCTTGTGTGAGAAGAAAGACCTGGCATGGTGCGAGGGTGCGTGTGGGAGTACATGTGAGGGTGAAGGTGAATATGCATGTGTAAGAGCATGCGAGGATGCACACGAGAGCGCGTTGATGCGTGTGTTTGTCTCAATATGACCAAAACACGAGACAGGTAGTGAGGCACACATGCAAGCTACACACACTCACGGCACCACGGGGAGTCTTACGCGTGAGGATTGTCGTATGTCTCAAAGACGCGCCTGGCCTTTTGGCGGGCAAAGTAGCACAGCAGGGCCGGGATGACGTATTGAATGCCGACACCAGCATATGACCTGACATCAACCAAGCAACAGCGTGCAGCAGAGAATGAGTGAGTGAGTGAGTGTGTGTGTGTGTGTGTGTGTGAGAGAGAGAGAGTGTGTGTGTGAGAGAGGGTGTGTGTGTGTGTGATGGTGTGTGTGTGAGTGCGGATTGTGTGTGAAGTAGGAGCAAGGGTAAGAGGAGGAGTGGGAGCAAGGGTAAGAGAGAGGGCTAAAGAAGAATACGAATGCTCCCACAGCGCAACATCCATCTCCGAGTGCTCACACCCCAACAGTCACCAACCCACCATCACCAACCCACCATCACACCCATCACCCCAACACCCCGCCCGCCCGCACGGGTGCTGCTGGCGTACCCGGTGAATGAGACGAGGAAGCCGACGTCCTCCGTGAAGTAGCCGACCAGGATTGGCGGGCCAATTGCAGCAATAGGCAGCACAAACTGGCGTTGCAGCAACACGCGTGCGTGCGTGTGCGTGTGTGTGTGTGTGTGTGTGTGTGTGTGTGTGTGTGTGTGTGTGTGTGTGCGTGTGTGTGTGTGTGTGTGTGTGTGAAGTGGAAAGGAAGGGGGGCGGTGTTGGTGAGCAAGCATGTATGGTTGAAGGTGGATGGGGAATAAATAAGTCCGTTCGCAGACATGCACAAGCCGAACAAAAGAAAAGGAAACACACACACACACACACAACATACGCATCCACACACACACACACACACACAACATACGCATCCACACACACGCACACACACACACACACACACACACACACACACACACACAACATACGCACCCGTGTGACCCATGCTGGGAAGGGCCTGTCTGGGGGCTCAAAGAGATGTCGCAGGTTGTTGCGCAGCGTAATGGCGATAATCGGGAAATTCGCACTGCAAGCACACAAGCGCAGAGAACACGTGTATATGTGTGTGCGTGTGTGTGTTTGCGTGTGAGCGAAAGGGAGGTGGCGTGTAGAATGTGGAATGGGCTGTGACCAGCAGGCATGCTGACACACACGCGCACGCATGTGCAGGCGCGCACGCACGCGCACATCACCCGACCTGAGCGTGAAGACAGGGAAGAGGCCGAGGAAGTATGAGACAAACTTGGACGGGAAGTCCGTGAAGTTGAGCGTGTACAAATCCTTCAAACTGTCCGCTGTGAGGAGTTGCAGGACGGCAGCGCGGACAACGTGGACGGAAGAAAGTGGGGTTGAGACAATCATTCACGTTTTCGCACATGTGTGTGTGTGTGTGTGTGTGTGTGTGTGTGTGTGTGTGGTGGCACAGCGCTCCCACTTGGACATTGCGTCACAACATCGACAATGTCTGCATTGCGTCACGGACCTTGGAACCTGAAGACGGCGGTGAGGGAGAGGAGGGCGTAGAAGAGGAAGCACAGCAGGAAATCAAGCGACAGCACCGTCCCAAGCGTTTTCTTCCGCGTAATCGGCGTCAGTAGCGAAGGCAAGCTGTGATCAGTTGGTGAACAGTCAGGATTGGGGGAGGGGGGAGGGGTGAGGAGTTATCGTGGTTGTTGTGTTGACTCTTGCTTCATCGCACGGATACACGCACAAATACACACATACGCACAGGCACACCCTCTGTGCAGCTGTTGGTGCGTGAATGTGAGCCATGGCAACGTGAACCGACATCAGTCAGCGACACGCACCTGTGATGGCACATGAACGAGTAGATGGAGACGCCAAAGAGGACCGGAAGTCCGGTGGCCTTGAAAGTGCTGACGTCAGACGCATGCGGCACGTGGTCGTCGTGGTTGAAGCCCTGGAGGGTCGGTGGGCGTTGTCAAGGGAGGAGACGCGTTGTGAGGTGAGGATGATCAGGGGATGAGGTAAGAAGCACGGATAGAGTGGTGGACAATGAGTGAAACAAACAAACAAACAAACAAACAAACAAACAAACAAACAAACAAACAAACAAACAAACAAACAAACAAACAAACAAATAAACAAACAAACACACAAACGCGCGTGTGGGACCTTTTTGTTTGCAATGCCGATGAGGGCGATGACGATCATGATGATGAACGTGGACCAGCGCATGACGGTGGTGAAGATCTGCAGCGCTTTCGTCTTCTGCGCATTGAAGAAGCAGAAGGGACCGAGCACCACCGCAAATGCAGTCTGGCATGCACAGCGACAACAACGGCGGTGAGGAGTTGTGGTGGTGGTAGTGGCGATGGCAGTGAGTGGAAAACAAACCTCTTGGGCATGGAAGCAGCAATCAGCAGAAACACACACGCACACACACACGCACACACACACACACACACACACACACACGCACACACACACACGCAGACACAAGACGAGCGGCGAAGCGGTGTGTCTGACCAGGAAGACGTAGTATGCCTGCTGGGAGTCGAGCGTGCCCATGCAGTGGTGGTGGGCATAGGTGTGGTTCTCGTGGTGCGAGTGCGAATGCGCCTGGTGCGAAAGATTGCCGCTGTGTGCGTGTATATATGGAGAAGGACAGAGAGAGAAAGCGTGAGTGAGGGTGTGTGCGAGGTTGTATGAAAGGGTGTGAGAGCCAGGAGCAAGCACAACTATTCCCGCGCGCACGCGCATACACACATCACACATCACACATACACGCACCAGGCGACGGACTGAAGGGACTTTGGGATTGCGACGACGTAGATGCAGAGGTCGCCGTAGAGATAGATGACGATGCATGCATAGAAGAAGCGAAGGCCCCACGTGGAGAAGAACATCTTGGCCATCTCCGCCTGGCATCATCATCACCACAACAAGCACAAGCACCACCACAACAAGCACAAGCACCACAAGCACAACCAGCACAACAAGCAGCACAAGGAGCACATCCAGCGTGACAGTGCGTGTGTCGCAGAGAGATTAGATTGCACAAACGGAACATGGCGCGAAAAGCGTGAGAGAGGCGCTCGCGGTGAGATGTTGGAGAGGGAACACAGGGGCGAGGGCACGGGTGCGAGGTTGTGTGGTACAAAACAAGATGATGCAGAGGCCCAGCCATGTATACGAGTGTGCTGAGTGCGAGAGAAGCTCAAGCATGGGCGAACCATTCGCATGCGCATGTGGTCCCTGCCCTCACCATCTCTGTGCGGTGCGTAATCTCAAACGGATTGGCGGCCTCTGTTTCATCTGCGCAGATGTGTCAGGGGTGATGATGGGGTGGTGACGATGCAAACACAAGTCAGTGGGTGTACTTTGCGCGTACGCTGCCTTCATTGGCAATCCTATCCACACCACAACACGCTGCAGCGCCCCACCCAGCACACACACACACATAACGAGCGTGCGAAACTCACTGATGAGGGGCGCAACCTCGGAGCTCTATGTGGCGGGCAGCAGCGTTGTCAATAACGGTCAAAGTGCGATTGGTGGCGGGGGTGAGCGTCGAAGATGGAGAGGGTTGTTGTTGTTGTTGTTGTTGTTAATGGTTGTTGTGCGACGCAAAGTGGTGCGCTTGGTGACGCTGTGCAACCGGCATGCGAAGACGCGGAAGCAATGCGGGGCAGCATATACCTGCACATGCCGTTGTCTCTCCTCGTGGCGGCGAAAGCGGTTGGCGATGGCCATGGCCTCGATCATAAAGGTGACCGTCAAGTACGAGAAGGCCGCAAGCAGAGCAACGAGAATGCATCCTGTCAAGCACAAGCACGACATTCATACGCGCACGCACGACGACGACATGGCACAGGCACATGAGCTGGGCTGAGTCAGGGATCGCGAGATGTGAACAAAACCTTGTGCTGAATGTGTGTGGGTCATTGTGGCTGTGTGTGTGGAAACGTGTGTGTGGTTTGTGTGTTTGTGCGTGCGTGTGATTGTGTGTCAGCTGTGTTTGCACGTGTGTGGAGCCGCAAAGCCCTTTCTGCGTGGCCTTTGCTGCATCTGCTGTATTTGCTATAACGCACCTCCAATGTAACCGCTCTCGCTGAAGGCCTTTGGCATGGCCAGTGCGCCTGCGCCGACGATCAAGTTGAAGACATACACGCCACCCACCTGCACGATGTGTTGGTGGGTTGATGGTGTGTTGTGAGTTGTGATGGTTCAACACAGACAAGCGTGGCAACAAGACAAACTCTCACACACATGTTGACACAAGCAAGCCAGCTAGCACAAGCTGGCAGACGAGCTGACACACAAGCTGGCACATAAGCTGGCAGACGAGCTGACAACACATCAACGCGCACAACAACATACATGCACAACAACACACACACATCAACAACATCATACCAGGGGTGAGTACGTGGAGCCGTCATCCACGCCGCCGCCAGCCATCGTTGCTCTGGCTGGTTGGTTTGGTTGTTGTTGGAGGGGATTGAAAAATGGGCCTATACGACAGGCATATAGAGTAGTCGTTGTGATGGCGGTGGTTCGAAGCCATCCATCATCTTCGATGATGACTCACACGATTCATTGCTCGCGCGCTTTGTGATGTGACGTGACACTGACCGCGCACTAGAGGGACCTCGTAGAACACACTGAGTGGCTGTGTGTGTGGAACGTGTGTGTGGTTTGTGTGTTTGTGCGTGCGTGTGATTGTGTGTCAGCTGTGTTTGCACGTGTGTGGAGCCGCAAAGCCCTTTCTGCGTGGCCTTTGCTGCATCTGCTGTATTTGCTATAACGCACCTCCAATGTAACCGCTCTCGCTGAAGGCCTTTGGCATGGCCAGTGCGCCTGCGCCGACGATCAAGTTGAAGACATACACGCCACCCACCTGCACGATGTGTTGGTGGGTTGATGGTGTGTTGTGAGTTGTGATGGTTCAACACAGACAAGCGTGGCAACAAGACAAACTCTCACACACATGTTGACACAAGCAAGCCAGCTAGCACAAGCTGGCAGACGAGCTGACACACAAGCTGGCACATAAGCTGGCAGACGAGCTGACAACACATCAACGCGCACAACAACATACATGCACAACAACACACACACATCAACAACATCATACCAGGGGTGAGTACGTGGAGCCGTCATCCACGCCGCCGCCAGCCATCGTTGCTCTGGCTGGTTGGTTTGGTTGTTGTTGGAGGGGATTGAAAATGGCCTATACGACAGCATATAGAGTAGTCGTTGTGATGGCGGTGGTTCGAAGCCATCCATCATCTTCGATGATTGCTCGCGCGCTTTGTGATGTGACGTGACACACACACACACACACCACAACCACAGACACACCACAACCATAGACACACATCGTTCTCACAAGCAAGCAAGCAAGCCAAGCGAGGGGTCGTGTGCGCATGCGCATTCACCACAGCTCAAGACACACGGTTGGAGCGACACAGCAGGAAAGAAGGAAAAGCGTCATCAACACCACCACATCACCACTCTCGTCATGTCGGGTTTGAGAAGGGCGGCAAAGCACCGTATGCAGAATCGCCCTGCGTGCGAGCTTCTGGCAAAGGAAGCAACATGCAAAGGCGAAACCCCGCCAACACAGGAACAGCTTGACGCCATCATCGTCGACATGCAAGACACGTGCGTGCACTCGAGTGGTTCTCGATGGCCTGCTTTCTCTCCATGCGTATGTGCGTGCGTGCGTACACCATGCAGCTCTCGATGGGAGGGTGTGGCGATCTCACCAGAAACAACCGCTTGTGTGCTTGTGTGCTTGTGTGCTTGTGTGATCGTGTCACTGCACAGATTCCAGCGACAGCTGATGATGCGCGTCTTCACCAAGCGCCTCCAAGATTCAGGCCACTTGTGGTCCCACCCGTTCAAGGTGAGACCACTGTGCACCTGTGCATGTGTGTGTGTGTGTGTGTGCGTGTGTGTGTGTGTGCGTGCGTGCATGTGCGTGTGCGTGTGCGTGTGTGACTGTTTGTGTGCACATGTGTGTGCATGGTCGTGGTAATTGCAAAAGAAGCGCAACACTGCATGTCTGTGACGTTTGTTCCACACATCACAGCTAGCCCGCCGTTTCCAAGCTCACAGTGCCTGCCTGCTTTGTCAGGTGCTCCACGTGTTTGAGTACATTCTTCGCAACGGCAACCCTACCCTGATCACTGACATCTACGTCGTGCGCACTCACATCGCTTCCCTGCGAGGTAAACCAATCCCCCGAACCACCACCACGCGCGGGAGGTTGTGTACCCTGTGAGTACTTTTATTGTTGCGCCCGCTGACACCCTATTTTTGTCTCTCCTGCGCTCCTGCGTGTTGCCTGCTCGCCCGTGTCGGGTTTGCAGCGTTCACCTACTTTGACAAGGACAGGAACGGCGTCGATCGTGGTGCTGCTGGTGAGTTGTCATCCTGCAGAGGCACGAGCTCATCACGTGCATACGTGTGTGACTCAGCTAAAGTCATCTTGCTGACTCACGCAACTGCGGGCTGTGGTGGTTGACTCTTCCCACACCACTGCGATGTGTCATCCTTCAAGTCCTCACACGTGTGCTCATGACACACACACACACACACACACACACACACACACACACACACACACACACACACACACACACACACACACACGTAACCAGTGCGCGCGCAGGCGGGCGTTGTCCTTCAGCTGCTGGACCGTTGGGCACAAGAGGATGACAACACGGGGTTTGTCTCCTCTTCGGCATCCTCATCCATCGGACCGAGCTTGCATGCAGGCAACTCACAGCCAAGCAGCAGCTCGCAGTCCTCAAGCTACGGCTTCCACAACATGGCCTCTCCTTTCGTCTATGATGATGGTGGCAGTGGCAGTGGCAACGGCAACGGCAACGGTGCCGTAACAAGTGCACCACATGGGCAGCTGCTTGGCCCACCACCAACATCGTCCCCGCCGCCGCCACCACCGCAGCACCAACAGCCATCGTCGTCGTCGTCGTCTTCGTCTTCGTCGTCGTCGCGGCAAAACGGACGGCCACTCCCCACCCGCCCACCTGCCAACCGGCACCACGCTGACGCTGGCACATGGGCACAACACCAGCATCCCACGTTGGCACCAGGAACACCAGCAGCAGCAGCAGCAGCAACAACGTCGTCGGTGACAGCGCCAGCCACGCCGGCGACTCCCACCAACAAGGGCACGCCGCTGTCCCGTGGCGGGAGCGTGCCAACCTCCGAACGCATCGCACGGCAGCGCCGGGCGCACCAGCAGTGGCAACAACAGCAGGCGCAGCAGCAGCAACAGCAGCAGCAACAGCAACAGCAGCAACAAGGTTATGGTGCACCCCGCCCACCTTCGCCTGAGTACGATCAGCCACTCGTCCGCAGCGGTGGATCCGTGCACGCGTACACATCTTCCAACCACGTGCCTGCAGGCACGCCATATAGCCAGCAACACGGGCAATTTGACAACGGCAACGGCAATGAGGAGCCCGTTTATGCGGTGCCGTATGCGCACACGCGTGTTGCGGGCGGGCAACAGCAGCCAGCGCCGGACTACTCGGCGCTTGTGGACCCTGTGCTGCTGACACACGGGGAGGACCCAAGCAGCGGGTACTATGATCCCATGCAGCTTGTTCGCCAGCAGCATGCCGCGCGCACAGCCCACCCGTCCCGCGCCACCGCCTCCATCTCCGCACGCGCAGCCTCGCACGCCTCCCAGCAGCCAGCGTATGTACAGCCACTGGCAGGCCCACAGTCCCCACACTACAGCCACCAGCACCAGCACCAGCAGCAACACCAACACCAACATCAGCAACCGCAACACCAGCCCACCCATCAATACCAACAGCCGCCACCACCGCCTGCCATCACGACAGCACCACCTCCACAGTCACAGCCACCATCCCTTCAAGAGCCCGTCTCCGCCACACTTTCGCCGACAACGGCCACAACAACGACAGCAGCACCCCAGCATGTCGTGCACACCAATGGTGTGTCGGGTGGTGCACACGCGAGCGACGACGACGATGGGGAAGAGGACGAGGAAGAAGATGCTGAGTTGGCCGAGGCAAAGCGGCGCAGCGTTGCAGAGGCGCGCTTCCGGCAGTTTATTGAGGAGGAGAGGAGGGCGGAGGAAGAACAGCTTGCACTCGTGCTGGAACTGAGCAAAGTCGAGATGTGACGGCACGGAGGTGACCCACCTCTTGACTCGATGGCGGAAGTGCCGGCAATGTGTGTGTGTGTGTGTGTGTGTGTGTGTGTGTGTGTGTGTGTGTGTGTGTGTGTGTGTGTGTGTGTGTGTTTTTGGGGGGGGGGGTGTTGCCATGGCGTGTTTTGTTGGGTGTGTGTGGTTTGGAGGCGCTGGTGCAAGAGGAGAGGGACCGGATGGGTGCAGTCTGGCTTCTTGTTGTGACACGTGAATTCGATGATGCAGCTATTCGACTTGTTCCATTAAACAACATACAAACCCCACAGCGAGCGAAGCGAGACGTGCTCATGTGATTGAATGTGTGTGTGTGCGTGTGCGTGTGCGTGTGCGTGTGCGTACATGTGTGTGCGTACATGTGTGTGTGCGTGTGCGTGTGTCACTTTGCGTAGAATGCCTGGCCGGATAAGAGCACGTTCGGTGCCATGGCCACAGACACAATCAGCGCAGCCACGTCCCGCGCAGCAAGGCAGTCCGACGCATCCTAACATGTGCATGCGTGTGCAGTGTGTGTGTGTGTACGTGTGTGTGTACACGTGTGTGTGTGTGTGTGTGTGTGTGTGTGTGTGTGTGTGTGTGTGTGTGTGTGGTATGCGTGAGAGAGGAGCTATGGGGTGCAATCCCTCCTCCAATGAGTCTGAAAGGCACGTCGTGCCGTGTGTGTGTGTGCGTGTGTGCACTCAAAATGTAGCGGACATGCACAAGAGAGAGAGAGAGAGAGAGAGAGAGAGAGAGAGAGAGTGTGTGTGTGTGTGTGTGTGTGTGTGCGTGTGTGTGTGTGTGTGTGTGCGTGTGTGTGTGTGTGTGCGTGTGTGTGTGCGTGCGTGTGTGCGTGCCAGCAGCTTCTCAGCTGCCTGCATGCGAGCACAAACCAAGCCAAAAACTGACCTCATCGGGATACATGGTTGTGCGCATGCTGGTGTAGGTTCGGCGTGGAACGACGCAGTAAGCGACAACGTTGTGTGGCTTGCCTTCCAACGCCAGTGTCTCGGTCAAGCATGCAATACCGGCCTTGGAGGCTGCGTAGGCCGACTGGCCCTCCCGTCCACCTTGCGCCGCGCTGTTGACACGAGTCACAGAAAACAAGTAAGCATGGCAAGCAGAGGGCAATGATATGAGTTGAGTTTAACGTAACGGTTACAGCCATGCTGATCATCTGGGTGGTGGCTGTCTTAGCCTACAGAGCCTATGGCTCATGTGGCTGAAGTGACTCGTGCCAAAACAGCAAGCATTCTAGCCCCGAGCAATGTATGTTGCACATGGTCATGCCTGGGGATGAACCACCCCTGTCGAAAGTCCCCAACTTGCATCAACAAGTATTGTACCTTGATCCCACGTTGATGATGACACCACCATGGACTTGCTCTTGCATGCCTGCAAGCAAGCAAGGTGTTCGTTTTTGCGTTAGCGACGAGCAACACGGGACGTGGCACCACAGCAAGCGGTGAACACAACACGCACACGTGCATTTCGACTTGACTGGCACACTAAATGGCCGCACACGTCAGGTTACTGTACACACTGCACGCACTTGCGAGGGCGCGCCGTGAGGAATAGAAGCAGCCGCTCAGATTGGATGTCATTATGTTCTGCCACGCTTCATCCGTCTTGATAGTGGGGAGCACACACCGCAAATCAACACACGCAGCATACATACAATACATACGAATGACTCGTGAGTGTGTGGTGACGTCATTGGATACGCACAGGGAACAAAACGAAACGCGCAGCCATAGAGAGACATGCAAACAGCAAGGTGATGACACATGCACACACACACACACACACACACACAACGAGGAAAGATGTGTGACATGACAAGGCCAGGGGGCCTGTCGCATGGCCAGATACACAGAATGCAAAAAAAAATAAAAAATCACGAGATACATACCGTTTCCGCAATGGAACGAAGCAGGGCCACGCCGGCACAGTTGACAACAACATCCACGCGCTTGTACTTGGCGAGCACTTGTGCGTAGGCGTCGTCCACATGCTGTGAGTTTCCCACATCTGCGCATATTGCCATGCAGCCGTACTCCTTTGCCACATGTGCCACCTCTTCCTCTGTCCGCGCAACCACCGCAACCTGCAGCCGTGAAAGGCAACATCAATGCACACACGCGTGTGAAGGCGTGATGACCACAACAATGTGAGGACAGGTACGGACACTCGCACAAACACACACACATGTGCAGGAGGGAGAAGCAAGTGTATGCGGTTGAGCTGGAATGGCAGCCGTTCACACAGGACAATGGAGTTGACAATGCTGAAAGGGTGTGCACGAAGAACATAGCAATTGAGGCAAGTTCCTCCCCCTCCCCACTTCCTGCAGGCACAGAATCGCGAACCTGCATGCCGCGCTCTCGAAACCCTTTCACCACGTGTCGTCCAATGCCTCGACCTCCGCCAAAGACAATGGCAACCTGAAAGACACGGTAACACGTGCCATAGCATACAGCGTGAGATGAACAAGACACAAAGGCAGACTGTTCAAAGCAAGTACATGCTCATGCTGTTGAGAGGACGCAGAGCAGGCACCGCGACACACGCACACGCAAACACACACACATATCACATCACAGATACACACAGATAGGCAAACCTGTCGCATCCGTTGGGCAGCCAGTTGCTCAGCAGCATGCAAGTCCTGCTTGTAGGTGACCTTCCACACGTTTGGCTGGCAGTCAACGAGCTTGGCGCGAACACCAGCGTACTTGAGCACCAGGTGCAGCACCTCTGTGCCGTGTTCAATATCATGTGCCGAACAGCTTTCATATGCTTTCATAAGCGCCTCCAGCGAGAATGCCTGCATCAGCAAAATTGTGAGGGCGGGGTGAGAGATGTACCAGTGTGAAGGTAAGCAGAACCATGGACTGCTCGCAAACACCCACACCCACACAGCTACACCCAACCCACCCACACACCCACCCACCCACACACACACACAAACTAAATTGGATCCCTGCAAGCACATGTTACCTGTGGCGTTTGGCTTGCGCGATACTGGGATCGGTCGAGCGACTCTTCAAGGAAGCCATCAGCGTTTGGTTTGATGACTGTCGAGACAAGAGGTAGTACAGATCCAGCTGCACCACGAACAAAACGTAAAAGCAGAGCAAACATGAGCAACCCTCCCCTCAAATATTTTCGGCGCCATAGCAGTCATGAACGATCAGGTACTACTGCTGCTTGCAGGCAAGGTGAAGCGCATTGCATCGCCCGCCCCTGCAATCACTCTATCACTTGCACGCATGCATGTTCATACACACCTGCTTGGTGCTGCGCTGCAGCTGCTGCGACGTTAAGCACTGTCTTTGCATCCACAAAGGGCCTTTGTTCAACAGGACAGACGGATGCATGCATGAATGCAACCGAACAGTGGTGAGTGAGTGTGCATGTATGTGTCTGTGTGTGTGCATGTGTGTGCATGTGTGTGCATGTGTGTGTCTGTGTGTGAGTGTTGCTTTGACTCGTTGTCAGTGGTGTGGGCGTGTACTTGGTTGCCTGCAGGCAAGGCTAGCATTGGGTGCTGTGGTGCTTGCTAACTCCAGCAAACAGCATGGCTGCGCCCATACCTGACGGCGTCATGGACAACGACGACGTTTGGGTGTGAGGGCTTCGAGTGAATAGCGTCGAGGCCGCGTTTGATGGACGCGTGCCTGCTTGCACCACCCTGAACAAACAGCACGCGCTCAGCCTCGTGCTCAAGCCGCCAGTCCCTGAGCCAGCCCGCGCTCTTCTCCAGACAGTTTGCGGCGATCGGCACGACCACCCGGCGCACGCCGGGGACAGCAAGCATCGTGGAGATTGTGTAGTACAGCAACGGCTTTCCCTGCAGCACCCAGTACTGCATGCGGGCACGCGAAAGGTAAGAACACGGGAGCATCGGGAGCAGTGAGAGGAGCGAGAGCAGTGGGAGCAGTGGGAGCAGTGAGAGGAGCGAGAGCAATGAGAGCAGTGGGAGCAGCGGGAGCAGTGAGAGCAGTGAGAACCATGAGAGCAGTGAGAGCGGTGAGAGCAGTGGGAGTAGTGGGAACAACAACACACGACGCGACGGAAAACACGGTGACACTTGCTGCTGCAAAGTGCTGCCATCTCATGATCTCACCTGTTTCGGCGTCACCGAGCCTGTGCGAACGCCGATGCCGCCAGCAGGCAACACCACATCGATGACAACGCCTTTCAATGAAGCAGCAGTCGTTGCGGTCTCCTGATGCAGCTGCTCCTGTGCTTCGCGCACATCCTGCATACTATCATCACCGTTGCCATCATCGTCATCCTCCTCCGCACGAGAGCGAGGATCCTTCCTCTTCTCATCACCATCGTTCCCACCATCGTTTCCGGTGCCACCGGCATTCTTCTCTTCCCTCCTCCTCACTGCTTCTGTGCCATTCTCTCCTCCGTCTTCTTGTTGCTTTGCTCGCTTCCGCGCCAGCCCATCTTCAAGCCCAGCACCACCAGCACCACCGTGGCCATCCGCACCCGTCTTCGTCATGCTCGTTCGTTCTTTCGTTCTTTTGCGCGGTCTGTGTCAGCAAACAAACGGTTTCCTTCCAGCGCTCACAATATGAATGGTCATTTCAGATTTGATGCAATTTTATGTCAACAGCTTTCGACGCCAATCATTCACAAATCCTCTACAAGCAGCAACTTGGGGAAGACGACGAGAGCGCAGAGAGTCAACCAGCCAGCCAGCCAGCCAGACAGCCAGTCATGAGCGACGAGCCAGTGGTGGTGGAGATTCCCGTGTTGCAGAAGCAGCACCACGAGGAAGATGTGAGCTCTACCCGGTCGTGCGTGTGTGTGTGTGTGTGTGCGTGTGTGTTGAGTCACACGTGATGTGTTGTTGGCTGCTGTTGTTGCTGTCGTTGGTGTTTGTGGTGTGCATGCATGCTCGGCTGATGCATGGCGTCTCACCGCATCACTCTTGAACATTTTTCCACTGCCCCCCCCCCCCCCAAATCAAAGGCCATCCAACTTGGCCCAAGTGACTTGGAGAACCTGGACACGGTGATTGACATCATCACGTTCGAGAACGTGCATCTCAAGTACTGGGCTCAAATCGCGGTATGTGCTTGAACTACACAGCAGCCCGCAATGCATGCATGTGTTGATGCAGGCTTGTGGGGTATGCGCTTGCATGAGAAACGCGCGCACATATATGTGTATGTGTACGTGTGCATGCGTGTGTATGTATGTGTATGTGTGCACGTGAGTGTGTGGGTGTCACCCTTTCCTTTTCCCTTCCACAGCGTGACATCTTTGTCTCCACCACATCATCTGATGAATGCAGGACTACTATCGTCGCAATGCCAAATGGGACGAGCTGTACACGCTGCTGGATCGTGCACGGCAGCAAAAGGCACCACCAAGTGAGTTCATGTGCAGGCGCAAAGCGTTCATACACCAATACCACTTCTGTGGCCATGCTGAGCAGTCTTCTCACAACTCTGACACCACACACACACACACACACACACACACACACACACACGTGCGGTGACAACAGATGATGCTGAGCACATGCCCCAGAAGATCCGTTTGATGGTCATGCTTGCCAACCTGCTGCTGGAGCGAGCAAAGGGCGCGCGAACCAAGGCGGAGGCAGACCAGTTGATCGACCAAGCAACGCAACTGACAAACGAAGTCGACATCTACGATCAGAACAACGAGGTGCCATGCGTGTGGGTGGGGGTGCTGTGCGTATGTCATGGCATCGTGTATAACTGCCGCGCTGAGCACCGAGTGTGTTTTGTCTTGATGTCATGCACACTATGGAGATGTGCATCGCGTGTGCTCCAAGCTCATGTTGCTCCTCACCATGGCCTCCGCTGCACAGGGCAACTGGGTGTGCAAAGGGTACATCAGCCTGTTTGTGGGCACGAGCGAGCACCTTGACCGTGCGCGCACGCTGTTTGACCTGGTGCTCACCAGCAAGAGTCAGACCAGCATCCCCGCCCTCCTCGGTACGCCATTGCTGCGGGATGGGGTGTTGGTGGTGGGTTTCGGCAGCGGTGTTTTCCTCCCACATACCAATGTTTTGTTTGCCTCGTGTCCACGCTGCGTCTCCCCAACTCACCATCAGCACTGCGACGACGACGACGACGACGATCACCACCACCACCACCACCACCACCACCACCACCACCACCACCACCAGGCCGGGCTGCGATTGACTTCCACAAGGACCTGTATGCGGATGCGTTGCGTCGCTACCGCACGGTGCTGCGCATCAGCCCCTCGTGCCCCGCCAGCATCCGCGTCGCCATGGGCATGTGCTTTGCCCGCCTCGAACGCTTCGACAAGGTGCTCCCGACATGGCGCCAGCACGTGTACTCGCCTGGCATGTACTTGTTGTGCTTGTGCTTGCGCTCGTGTTTGTGGTTGCGGTTGTGGTTGCGGTTGTGATTGTGCTTTTGCGTGGTGATTGTGTATTGCTCAGACTCACGGTACCATCATCATCACCACCGTCACCACGACGGGTGTGCAGGCGCGTGCTGCTTTTGAGCGAGCGCTGGCGCTGGACGAAAACAACGTGCCTGCACTCGTCGGCACAGCCATCCTCCTCATCAACCAGAAGGAGGTAGGACAATGGTGATGATGATGGTGATGATGATGATGATGATGATGATGATGATGATGATGATGATGATGATGATGATGATGATGATGATGGTGCCCACGACAGTGAAATTTGCCACGTGATGGCTGATTTCATCTCCAATCTGCTGCCGTATCCCTGGTTTTGCGTGCATGTGTGTCCAGCGCGGCGCGATGCGGGAGGCTGTGGAGCGGCTGACAAAGGCGTACAAGCTGGACCGCACCAACCCGATGACCCTCAACCTCCTCGGAAACCACTTCTTCCACAGAAAGGTGTCGTGCGCACGCGGCTGTCGCTTGCGTGCTTAGATGTCGTTGGTGATGCTACTGATCATTGCCCACAAAGCCACCGTGCATATTTGCAAGCTCAGCACCGCATATGCACATCGACACACACAACACAACACAACACAACACATAACGCAACACAACACAACACAACACAACACAACACAACACAACACAACACAACACAACACAACACGGCACCCCACCAGGAGTACAGCAAGGCGCTTGGCCTGGTGACACACGTTGCTGGGACGGCGCTTGACCGGGACATCAAGGCCGAGGCGTTCCATCACATGGCACGCATCCACCACCAGCAGGGGAACCTGGACACGGCGCTGTCGCACTACTACCAGGCGACGAGCCTCTCGCCGTCGCTGCTGCCGGCCCACTACGGTCTTGGCCAGATGTACATCCACAAGAAGCAGCTCAGGCGCGCGCGCGACTGCTTTGAAATCGTCTACAAGCACATGGTGCGTTACTTGGGTGTGGGGGGGGGGCTATGAGGTGTGCTGTCAGGGGTGGGTGTGTTTTCGCTGGAGTGAATGCGCGAGTATGCGTGTGTATGGGTGTTCATGTGTGTGTATGTGTGTTTATGTGTGTGTATGTGTGTGTATGTGTGTTCATGTGTGAGTGTGGAAAGGGCGAACTGATCTGTTTTGTTTCAACTTTTGCCAACTCAAACGTACGTTTGTATGTTGGTGGTTTATGTGTTGTTTATGTGTTGTGTATGTTGTGTATGTGTCGTGTATGTGTCGTGTATGTGTCGTGTATGTGTCGTGTATGTGTCGTGTATGTGTTGTGTATGTGTTGTGTATGTGTCGTGTATGTGTCGTGTATGTGTCGTGTATGTGTGTGCAGCCGACGAATATGGCGGCGGCGAAGATCCTTGCGTGCATGTATGTGCAGGAGGCGGAGACGTCGCGGTCCGCAACCGCCCTCGAAAAGGCAACAGCGCTCTTTGATAAGGTACGTTCAACACGCACACATGCACACATGCACACACGCACACACAAATTCACAAACATGCACACACGCACACACAAACATGCACACACATACACGCGAACATGCGCACATATGCACAAGCATCATATCATTGGCGTGCCCCCTCATTCCTTGGTCGCTTATGTGTGTGTGTGTGTGTGTGTGTGTGTGTGTGTGTGTGTGCAGGTGTTGAAGCAGCGGCCAGAGGACATTGAGGCGTGGGTGGAGCTCGGTATGCTCCTCATCCGCTCAAACCCAAAGGTAAGATGCGCAATAAGCGCACATTTACACATACATATCTTGCGTTTTCGTGGAACGAACTTCAAGATCAACAAACCACACACGCACACGCACGCACACACACACACACACACACACGTCTGCAGCGAGCACTTGGTGTGTTTGGAGAGGCGAAGACGCGGCTGGAGGCGCTGGGATCGGCGCTCCCGCCCGAGCTCGTCAACAACATGGCCTGCCTGCACCTCCTCAACACCAACCACCGCCACGCAAAGGTGCGCATTGCACCGTGAATGTGCCAGCGTGATTGTGTTCTTGTGTGTGCATGTATGGTTTTGTGTGTCTGTGTGCGCATGCGTGTGTCTGCGCGTGTGCCTGTGTGTCTGCGTTCTTGTGTTCTCATGAGCTTGCGTGCGGCTTGCCTTTGTGTCCGTGACTTACCGCTCCACACGCCCCGTCCCTCCATTCCAATTCCACCACCTCTTGCGCTCTCCATCAACTCTCGTGCCTGCAGGCAATGTTTGAAGAAGCGCTGAGTGGCCTTGACCTCGACCCGGACGAGCAAGCCGACATGGAAGAGGTTGCACAGTCATTTGAGAGCTTGAATTGAACCTTTTAACACGCGGCATTTGCTGTTGCTTCGTCACCTGTGTGTGTGTGAATGTGTGTGTTTATGTGTGATGGCTGGCGTGATGCTGTTGTCGTTGAGTGCGTGTTGAATCCTCTCATCTTTTGCGCTTGTGACTGTTTGTCTTCTGCAGGCGGACATTGAGTTTTTCAAGGGCGCGAAAGGTGAGCGCACTTGTTCAGTCACTAGCGCATGCCACTGCGACACACACACACACACACATGTGCGCACACACACGCGCACACTGTCTCTGCCTTTGCCTCTGTGTGACTCACTCTCATCCCCACGCCACCCACCATGCGTGCATACAGTGACTGTGCGGTACAACCGTGCGCGGCTGCTGGAGACGACGTACGAGCTTGACGCTGCCGAGGAAGAGTACCACGCTATCCTGCAGTCGCATCCAGACTACGCAGACGCGCGCTTTCGCCTCGGCGTCATGGCCCAGCGCCGCGGCGCCATCAACGAGGCAACAATCTTCTTCAAGGACTGCCTCAGGCTGGTGCGTGCTGCCGTGGTCGTGTGGTCCTGTGGTCACATGTGGTCTTTGTTCGGTCGCGTGTCGGTGGCTGTGGCGGTGGCTGTGGTGGGTGTTATGGCAGTGATGGTTGCGAGGAGCGTGTGCTCTCCATTCCATATTAACATGCAATGCAGCAGAGCAATGCTCACACGTCCCCCACCCCGTCCCGCACCGTTCCTTTCCTTCTGCGTAATTGTTCTCTCAGAACGAGGTGACGGCGCTGACCCTGCTCGGGAATCTGTGCATCCAAAAGCGACAGCTGCAGCACGCACAGCGCTACTTTGACAAGATTATCAAACTCCGCAAAAAGGAAGGCGTAAGTTTTACGCATAATGCACCGCGTGAGCCGTGGCACTCACGTGTCTGCTGGCCAGTAGATGAATGGCTGGTGGTGGTGGTGGTGAAGCGTGGGGTGCCTCCCACACTCTGCCTTCCATCGTAATCTATCCATAATCCCGTCACACCTTCACACTCCACGTACGTTGTGTGTGTGTGTATGTGTGTGTGTGTGTGTGTGTGTGTGTGTGTGTGTGTGTGTGTGTGTGTGTGTGTGCACCGCAACAGGACCTGTACAGCCTGGTGTCGCTGGGCAACATCTTCTTCCAGCGCGTGGATTTTGTTCGCGCCCAGAAGTACTTCACAAAAGCGCTTGAAGCGAGTGTGGAAAACGTGTTTGCGGTCAACGGGCTTGGCTGCGTGTTTGCTGCACAGGGAAACACCGCACAGGCAAAAGACCTGTTTCAACAGGTGCAGCACCCTTGCGTTGTGTGTGTGTGTGTGCGTGCGTGTGTGTGCATACATGCGTTCGTCCCCTGTGTGTGTGTTCGTGTGTGTGTGCGTGCGTGTGTGCGTGCGTTCGTCCCCTGTGTGTGTTGTGTGCGTGCGCGTTTCCGCCCGTTTGGTGCTCAGCACCGGTTTTCATGTCCACTTGCTTTTGTCCTCCTATTCAGATCCGCGAAGCGACGACAGATGTGGAAGGCATGGACCAGATTCTTCTCAACCTCGCCCACGCTTACGTCGACCTGGTCAGCTCCTGCCGCCGTCGCGTGCTTGCATGCATCACCGGCCACTGGGTGTGGTCTGTTGTCACCGAGTCGTGCTTCGATTTATCTCACGCATGTGATATGTGTGTGTGTTTGTGTGCGTTCATTCACTTTATTTTGATGTTTGACAGGGTTCCCTGTCTGAAGGCATTGCGCTTTATGAATACTGCCAGCGGAAAATGGGCCGACGCACGTGCGTTTGTGGTGTCGGATGCACACACACACACACACACACACACACACACACTTGGGCACACCTTCGCACACACACACACACACACACACACACACACACACACACACACACACACACACACACACACACACACACACACACACACACACACACACACACACACACACACACACACACACACACACACACACACACACACAAAGCAGCGCACAGTATGCTCGCCAGCCGTCACCTCAACCTCACCTTTGTCGTTTCTTCCTCGTCACCCTCGTGCCCTCGTGTCTTTGTTTGCCGGTTGCATCTGCATGAACAGGGATGCATCGATCCACGCTGCCCTGGCCCGTGCCCATTACAAGAACAGAGACTACAAGCTCGCCCGCAAGCACTTTGTCAAGGTGTTGCAGTCTTCTCGTTTGCTTCCTCGGCCGTTGGCTTTGATCGAGCTTGGTTGTCGCACATACATGCGTGCCACTGCGCATATTGTTTCCCTCTTGTACTTGCCCGTTTGCTTGCACACTCGCTATTTCTCTCTTGCACGTGTCCTTCTTGCACGTGTCCTTCTTGCACGTGTCCTTCTTGCACGTATCCTTCTTGCACGTGTCCTTGCATACACTCCCCCCCCACACACACGCACACACACACACGCACGCACGCACGCACGCACGCATGCACGCACGCACGCAGCACGCACGCACGCACACACGCCACACTCACGATTTGTTGCTGTCTTGTCATGTCGGGTGGCAGGCGAAGCATCTTGACCCGCTGGATTCGCGCCACGACTTCAACATTGCGCTGACGCAGCAGCAGGAGGCGCGCAGCATCCTCGACAGCAGGCGCCCGCTCCCAGACCAGGTGCCGTCCTCGCACACACACACGCACGCACACACACACACACACATGAGAGGGTATGGTTGCGAGAAGGGAGACAAGCTTGATGGCGGGAGATTCGCCATTCAAAGCGCATCCACACTGCCATGCATGGTGTTTGTTTAGTTTCTTGATTGCACCATGTTCAACAGCTCATCTTGTGCCTCTACTTCCGACACGTGTGTGTTGCTGTTGTCCATCTCCAGCTCTTGGAGGCAGAGACATTGCTTGGGTAAGCCCCGTCCCTTGTAGCTGCTGCTACTTCTGCCACTTCTGCCACTTCTGCCGGTGCTGCTGAGCAATGCCGTTGCTTGCCCGCGCCTCCTGCGCATTATTGTTCACGCGACCGTTCCTGCATCACCAAACGCTGATCCACCCCCGCCCCTTGTGTGTTATCTTGTGCGCGCGTGTGTGTGTGTTATCTTGTGCGCGTGTGTGTGTGTGTGTGTGTGTTATCTTGTGCGTGTGCGTGTGTGCGCGCGTGCCTGCAGGCTTGCTCGCCAGTGCTTCCGGCAGCTGAAGCGGCCGCGCCATCAGGTCAAATACGACTTCAAGCGCGCTGAGAAGGTTCGTCACACGTGCTGATGGTGCTCATGCCTCAATCGATGCATCATGGGTTGTGAACAGTACATGTGTGTGCATATGTGCATGTGTGCGTGTGTGCATGTGTGCGTGTGCATGTGTGCATGCGTGCATGTGTGCATGTGTGCGTGTGCATGTGTGCATGTGTGCGTGTGCATGTGTGCGTGTGTGCGTGTGCATGTGTGCGTGTGCATGTGTGCATGTGTGCGTGTGTGCATGCGCTGCCGCCTCACCCGCTCCCCGCTGTGCATGTGTCAACAACAGGAGGAGCGGCTGTGTGTTGATCTCCGCCATCAATCCAAGCAACGGTCAACAGCTGCTGAGTCAGAGGTACGCGGTTTTCCCTCGAAACCACCCGTGTTCTGTGTCAACGTTGCATGCCAAGCATATTTACACACATACACACACAGGTTTGCACACATTTTTCATGCGAGACTGCATATCCCCACGCACAACCACTGCCCACACCACACGTCCGCTGACACATGTACGTGTGTGCGCAGGCGAGCAAGTTGAAGAAGCAAGCGGAAGTAGCGCGGCTGTTCCAGCAGCAGCTGCAGCAGCGAGAGGCCGAGAAGGAGGAGCGACTGCAGCGGCTGGCAGAGGCGGAGGCGCGCAAGCGAGAGAAGATTATGGAGTATGAGCAGAGCATGCCGAATGTTGGGGACATTATGGAGCGAGCGGAGGCGAAGAAGCGCGAGGGCCGCAAGCGCCGCAGTGACGCCGATGACATTATCAACGACGAAGAGGTGCATGCAGTATTTTCGCGTGTGTGCGCGTGTGTGCGCGTGTGTGCGTGTGTGTGCACGTTGTGTGTGCGTGTGTGTGCACGTTGTGTGTGTGTGTGTGAACGTTGTGTGTGTGTTTATCTGAGATAGAGAGAGTGTGTGGGACGAACGCAATTTGACCTGCCCTCGAGAAATGCAATCAAGCCACCACTCACCACTCACTCGCGACCACATGTGTGATGATGACAGGAGGAGCCTGCGCCACTGCCAGAGGAGGACGAGGGCGAATATGACGACAACGACGACGCTGACGACGGTGCACGGAAATCAGCAAAGCGTCAGGCATCCAAGCGCAAGCCAAGGTGTATTTGTATGTGTATGTGTGTGTGTGCGTGTGTGTGTATGTGTGAGCGTGTGTGCGTGTGTGCGTGTGTATGTGTGTGTATTTGCGTGTGCAGGATGTCAGACAATGTGCTCCCATGCAATTGGTGTTTCCTCACTGGCCTTTTGGGCACGTACACGTGTGCGTGTGTCAATCAGGTCGAAGAAGTCGAAAGTCGTTTCGCGCCGAGAGGACGACGACGATGAAGATGATGATGACGACGATGACGACGACGATGACATCGCTCGTTTGAGAGCACAGCGTTCGCAGAAGGTAACCTGTCGCTCCCTTCGTTCTTGCTGTTCGCTTTGTCACACCCAATCACACACACATGCACACATATGTACACAAGCGCCTGCGTGCTCATGAGGTGTGGTTAATGACGTTGTGCATGCGTGCAACGCTGTGTCTCTTTTCTCACTCTGCTGCAACGTGCTCGTGTTGGTGCGATAGTTGAGCAAGAAGCGGGTGGTGAAGTCCAAGGCCTCCCTTGACTCTGACAGCGAATCAGACGACGATGACGATGCTGCCAAGCAGGCCGCCATGCCCCGCAGCAAGGTGTTTGAGTCACACACACACACACACACACACACACACACACACACACACACACACACACATCCACTTCTGGTGCATGATGGTCCTTTCTTGGTGACGGTGGTTGTGGCATTGCCTGCCCGCGTTAATCACTTCTTTCGGCTGTGCGTGTTTGTGTTGTTGGGGGTGACACAGGTTGGCATTCGCTCGACCAAATCTGCTGAGATTGTGGAGAGCAGCAGCGAAGACGACGACGACGACGACGCAGAACTGAGTACGATCTCATGACGTGGCCACACACACACACACACACACACACACACACACACACACACACACACACACACACACACACGTTTCCTTCACGTACTCACACGCTGTTGCCTGCAATCTTCTGCACAGAAATGAGCTGAGAGGACAGCAGGGCCAGTAGCACAACACTGTTGCACGCTATCAACCATACCACCTTGCTGTTGCCTGTGATGCGGAAGGAGTTGTTTACATACATTACACGAGTGATGAATAACACAAGATAGTCACACGCACACGTATGTGAACGCGTGCGCGAACAAGAAGAGCAAAGAGGGAGAGACACAGAGAGGGAGGAGGAGTGTTTGGGCAGGTCACACGTCACTTAAACACATTGAGCAGTCACGTTACAATGTGACACGTGGCAAGGGATCAAATAACAAAAGAACAAGCTTGAAGCAGAGGTGGCGCAGCAAGAGAGGTACGCGCATCAGCCAGGAAGCAACGTCCACCAGAGCTTCAAGAGCCGTGTCCAAACATGAGGTAACACGAGTAATCGCGCCATGTGAAGCTGCTGTTCACACACACACACACACACACACACACACACACACACACACACACACACACACACACACACACACACACACACACACACACACACACACACGAGCTATGATAGCGATATGTCGTGGGATGGCGAACGGCAGCGGGATCAATTTGAACCCACGCATTTAACTACACGGCACGGCACATGGCAGAGAACGACTTGAGGAGGGAGGTGAGCTGTCCGATGCTGTCAAGTTGAAACATCTGTTGGAGTAACGACTCCTTGACGTCCTCTCGCACGCTGACGGGCAGAGCGGCCACAATCGCCGGCAGCACCTGTTGCAGGATCGTCGAGAAGTTCTATACACCCGCTCATGTAGTCGTGTGTGAGAGAATGTGTGTGTGTTGTGAGTATGTGTGTGCGTGTGCGTGTATGTGGGAGAAAGTGCGCGAATGCAAGAACCATATGTTGTCTTACTTGCAACTGCAAACAACAACACGTGTACAGAAACTCAGACACCAAGCACACACACTCATGCACACATGCACACATGCACACACACACACACACATGAACACACGCTCTCACCAGCTGGAAGGTGCCGATACACCGCGCAATATCCGGGACACAGATGGCCGGCGCAGATGTGCACATGGACTGCATGCATGTCTCCACGCATATGTGGCCCACGCCCTTCTCCCCCAAGATGTCTTCGGCCGCGGCGGGCGACTTGGCGAGCATACGCAGCAGCTCCACAATGGCGTTGCATGCCTGCTTCACCACGTGTGGCTCCTGCAGCATCAGCGCCGCTATCGACCACTGCGTCATTGTCAGCACCAGCGGCACGGGCCTGCTCAGCGCAGCCTCGCTCAGAAACACATCTTCGCCAAGCGTGCGCAGCATGCGGCACACGAGGCGAAAGTACCCTGCTGTTGCATCTGGGCTCTCCACGTGTTGTCCGGCCTCAAACCAACCAACAACGCCGCCGTGGACCTTGCGAAACACATCCAGAAACATGGCTGTGTGCGCCTCGTCACGCCCGTACACGCTGATGCTGCTGGTGAGCAGATCCACCAAGCACGCGTGCTGCGACTCAACAAACCCCGAGCCGACAGCAGGGGCAAGCATGCCGATGTTGGTGTCGAGGAGGTGAACATTCACGCGCATGCAGTTCATCAGCATGTCGCACAGCGCCTGCATGAGGGGCTCGTCCGATGAATGGCGAAGAATGAGCTGAACACTCAGCGCCGACACCTTGGAAATCAACTGCCGTAATCTCAGACTCTGCAAATGATTTGGTGACAAGGAAAGGAAAGGGGAGGGAGTTGTAGGAGAGCAGTGGTGTTGGTGTGGAGTGAGTTCAGGTGACTGGTGCTCTCGCTGTGCATGTGCGTGAGTGAGTGAGTGAGTGAGTGAGTGAGTGAGTGAGTGAGTGAGTGAGTAAGTGAGTGAGTGAGTGAGTGAGTGAGTGAGTGTGTGTGTGTGTGTGTGGCTCCATCAAGGGTCACCTCTTCTTTGATACGAAGAAACCGAATGGCGTGGCCGAGCACGCGAATGTCACTCGCTGCAGATGGAGAGCAATGTTGGGCAGTGCGGACGAGCGTGTTAAAGAAGCAAAACAAAGGGAAGAAGAGAAGGAAGCAAGCAAGGAAGGAGCAAAGAGTAAACGTGAATACTGTGAGCAGCACATGCGCAAGCAAGCGAGCAAGTAACAAACCTGCACACTTGAGTTGTGTCGGCTGGAGAGCTGCTTGTGCTGTGCACGCACAGTTGTCAATCTCCTCCAGTTCTCGTTGCAGTGTGTTCTGGAGCTGTGGCCCGCACAACGAATCACTTGTGTGAGGCAACAGCGCTGAGTGACACGCACACGCATGAACGTTACAGAAGGATGGAGAGAGCGAGAGAGATAGACAAAGAGAGAGAGAGAGAGACAGACAGAGACAGAGACAGAGAGAGAGACAGAGAGAGAGAGAGACAGAGAGAGAGAGAGAGAGAGAGAGAGAAGAGACGAGAGAGAGAGACAGAGAGAGAGACAGAGACAGAGACAGAGAGAGACAGAGAGAGAGACAGAGAGAGACAGAGACAGAGAGAGAGAGACAGAGAGAGAGAGACAGAGACAGAGAGAGAGACAGAGAGAGACAGAGACAGAGACAGAGAGAGACAGAGACAGAGAGAGAGACAGAGAGAGACAGAGACAGAGACAGAGAGAGACAGAGACAGAGACAGAGAGAGACAGAGAGAGAGAGAGAGACAGAGAGAGAGAGAGAGAGGACACACACGCAGACACGAACACAGACACAAACACACATGCATACATACACACAGAGATCCACAGACAGATACAGCAGGTGCCTTTGACCGACCAGATCGACGGCGCGGTCGAGATTTGTCTTGCGGGAGATGAGGACGAGTCCCTCTGCCACCAGCGCCCGGCTCTCAGTGCTCAGACCATGACTTGCAGCATCCCTGAAGCACGCATGGGATGTGAGTACTCAACGCGCACATGAATTTACATGCGTGTAAAGTATGAGTAAAACCACGAGTGTTTGGTCAAAAGCACGCACGTATAACTTTTCTCATCTCCTACTCCTCCTGCTCCTGCTCCTGCTCCTCATCATCATCATCATCATCATCAGAAAGACCAAAACACGCCTGTCTTGCGGCACCTGTATGCAAGGTTGATGCTGTTGACATATGGGAGGAGGAGATCATCGCATCCTTCGCAGAGATCCCGAAACGCTTCGGCGCCCGCGTCAGCCTCCGTCTGCAGCGTTCGTCTGCACACACGCGGAATGCACATCAAGAAGAATTGGAGGGGGAAATGAATGGGTGTGGGTCGATCCCAACACACATGAACACACACGAACACACACACACACACGCACACACACACACGCACACACACACACACACACACAAACAAACAAACAAACAAACAAACACACACACACACACAAACAAACAAACAAACAAACACACACAAACAAACAAACACACACACACACACATACCCCTACCTTGCATCTGGTGTCCAGTTGCCGCCGGTATCACGGGAAACAACACCTGTCCGCGGCTGCGGCGTCACGGTCAGAAGATTCTTCAGAATGATATCTGGTGCACACACAACCAAGCAAGCAAAAACATTGGAGAGGCGCGTTCAGTCGTGACCTGTGAGCTGAAGTAAACGTCGGACGACTGCACGTCCTTTCGAGTGAGTGTGCGGGGCGCGAGAGAACGTGCAGAAGGACTGAAATCAAGAGGATATAACTGTGCGTGTGTGTGTATGTAGCGACGGTACCGAGCATGGTGGTGACTTGGTCTGGTCTGTTGCGCAACCACGCCCCAAGCGCGCCAGCAACGCGCACACTCGCGATGGAGATGAACTGAAAGAGCAGCGAGAGAAGCAAGAGAATAGATAAGGCGTGATGTAGTGCGGAGCAGATGAGTGGAAATGCGTTGACAAAGGCAGGCACACACACGCACACGCACAAAAGCAGACATATACACACATACACACATACACACACACACACACACACACACACACACACACACACACACACACACACACACACAAGGCAGTGACCTTGTTCGGCGGGAGGGACTCGAGCATGGCAACAATACGGGGCATGTGCTCGTCGTCAGCGGCCGGCGAGAATGTGGCGGCGCGGTAGATGCACGTCAATGACGACTCAACAGAGAGCCAGTTGTCGTCGCGCAGCCCGGCCTCAAGCAGCTCCGCCAGGACCTGGCGCAGGGGCGACACAAGGGTGTCGTGTGGTGCGATGAAGTGGTGGTGTGAAGTTGGGGGTGAGAATGGAAGCATTGGTTGTATAACTGAGTGCGTGCTTGCACGTGTGTAGTGTGAGCCGAAATGTTTGTGTGGCCCGAGCTGGCTGGCGCACGTACATGGTGAAAATCAAAATATAAACAGCACAATACGCACGCACACGCACCTGCACGCAATTCAACGTTGTGAAGCACGAGATGAACATGATCACGTTTCCAGCTTCGTGTCTGTATTCTGGACACAGGTACGGCGGCAGGAGAATGTGTTGTGTGTGAGGGTGAGCGAGAGAGAAAAAGAGAGCATGTATGTGTGTGTGTGTGCATGAGTGAAGGTCAAATGCGAATGCCCAGTCAATAACAGCACGCATTCGCGCTCCACACCATCAAGCATGACAACCATCCACACATGTGCACAACTCACTCTCGATGCTCTCCTGGTAGTGTTCATTGAGCGTTTCGATGGCCGGTGGGTACATCATCTTCCGTTGCAGCACTCGAAGCAGCTGCATGATGTGTGGAAGATACACGCGACGCGTCCGGTGCCGGGTCTCTGCAGCAATGCCGATGGTGATGGTGGTGATGGTGGTGGTGATGGTGGTACAGGTGAGTGGTTGGGGACTGCGCTCACACATCACACGTCCGAAACAGTCATCAGCGGTGGATGTAACAGCACAAGCATACACACACACATACACATACACACATACACACACGCACACACACATACGCACACATATTCACAGCGCGTGCATGGATGTGCGCACCTCGCTCGAGCTCGACGAATCCCTGCAGGACGCGATACCAGACCTTCAGCGTCAGCTCAGACTGCGTCTCCTGCGTCCCAAACTGACAACCGCATGTGGTGGTGGTTGGATGGTGATGGTGATGGTTGGATGATGGTGATGGTGGTGATAGTGATGGTGGTGGTGGTTGGATGGTGATTGTGGTTGGATGCGGGTGAAGGAAGGAATGGAGGGAGGCGTTGATGTGAGCTCGCAGCTGATTGGAACACACAGATACAATGGCGAATTGACATGGCTGAGGAACACGATGCATTCATGCAAACACTCACACATAGGCAGACACAGACACAGACACAGACACAGACACACACACACACACACACAGGCACACAACAACATCAGCATCAGCGGCTCTCATTCCATGGTAGTGCCCAGTCAACAGCCCATGGGTGCACGGGCCACACCTGGAGGGGGTGGTCGGTCATGTGGATGAAGAGATCAAAGAGCGCCGGGCCCTCCGCCAGCGTCAGCAGCGTGTCAATGTTGTCGTCGACTGCGTATGTGTGCACACGACGGTGGAGAGGCGGTGGGCGGTCAGGGTGACGTCATAGGAATGAATAGGCGAGAGCGAGCACACAAACCTCGATAGCGCGTAAGTACACGCATCACACACATGCATAAACACAAACACAAACACAGGAGTACACGCACATGCACAATCACACACATGCACAATCACATACACATACACATACACACATACACACTCCATCGCACCGAGTTCTGTGACAAGCTTGCACATCCATTCCGTCTTCTCGTCATCCTGTTGCGCAAGAGAGGCGTCATACATTTCGCGCAGACTGAGGACAGTCGTAACGAAAGCGGACAGCGCTTCCGGTTCATCTGATGCAATCACACGCACACGCGAGGAGTTGAAATGCGTGTGAGGTGAAGGAGGCATCAGACGGCATGCAAGAAACAGAGAAGAGAGGACAAAGACAGGCACAGACCACAAGAACAAGATAACAGCCAACGACACACACACACACACACACACACAGAGCACACAGGTTGCGGCTGACCTTCAAGGCCTGGGTGGCCAGCGAGCGCGACCAAGCACTCCATGGCAGCAGAGAAGGTCTCATCGCTGCCCGTGAAGGCGAGGGTCAGGTCTTGAGAGGGGAGGGCGATGGTGGATGGATAGGCGGTGAGCAAGGGGCATAAACATGTGTACACAGATGCAAAGTAAGAGTAAATTCAAACGAAACACACACACACACACATACACACATACATACACACAACGCACACACAACACACACACAACACAAGACAAGGAGATGTAGGCGTGAGGTTATGGGTGGACTGACTGAGGTGGTCGTTGAGCGCTGCGAGCGGCACGATGCCGGTCTCAATGCACGCGGCGAGAGACTGCAGCGCAGTCACAGCCAGCGACACATCTGCAACCTCCATGTTCTGGGACAACACCTGGCAAACGAACGGAGGTGAGCAGATGTAGCGTGCTCCTACTGGCAAAGCATGCAGTACCAGACACAGCCTTGCAGCTTGCACATACAATGCGCATGCGCGTGCATGCATGTGTGGTTTTGTGTGTGTGCGTGTTTTTGTGTGCGTGTATGTATTTGTGCATGTGTGTGTGTACCGTCTGTAGGGCTGCAAGGGCGGTTGGTTGCGCCGCTTGGAGCTCTTGCATGGACGCTGGCGTGATTGTCTTTTGCTGTATCATCTTGCATCCCTCTGCACATCCGCGCATGAGCAAGTCCACGGGCCACGGTGTCAATGAACAGCGTGGGCAGTGTGATGGACGACAGATAGACAGACAGACATAGACAGATAGATAGACACGCACTCAGGCACTTTCGCAAACACACCTTGGATGAAGGCTTTGATGAATTCGAGACCCGCAAGCTGGGATCGAGGCATAATGTCTTCTACAATCTGGCCAAAGACGCCTTGCATGCTCTCTGGAACGCTGCGGAAGATGACAGTGGCCATCACCGCACACAGCGATCGATACACAAACGTCTCCAGTGACGAGAACCTGCCACACGTGCCAGTGGAGATGACGGTCAAATCGAGTCACAGTCGTCGTGTGGTGCATGAAAGAGAGCAGCGCACGGAACTACACGAATGTGTGTGTGTGTGTGTATGATCTCACTCGAAGATCAGGTTGAGGAGAAGCTGCTGGAGGTGCCCGAGGACCTCTGGGTTCTGGGACTTGATGGTGGCGGCATTGGCTTGCAGCACGGATATGGCAAAGAAGTGCACCTCCGGTGACCTGGCAGGCACGAGCGTGCGCGAATCAATGTGGGAGCGGTGTGAGTGCAACGCACGAGTGGTGTGAGTGCAATGCACGAGTAGCGTTAGTGTACACACACACTGGTTGAGTTGGGGCCAGCTTTGCACCGCGATGGGGGAACCCAACTGCCCGCGCGCCTCCCCTCGCCTGGAAGACCACGTACGTTTGAGGGGCGAGCAGGTATGGCACGATGTGCATACTGTCGGGTGCAGATCGCACCTCCTGCAGGTACTCCTCAGCCTGCGATCGTGCAGCGACCACGTTGTGTGTTGCGGTTGTGAGGCACAGGCAGAGAGTGTGAGCCAAGCAAGCCAGCGAGAGAACGAGGCAGTGCGCGCGCGCGTGTGTGTGTGTGTTGGGGAGTGGGATCCACGCCACTCGCATGTCCACGACGAACCTGTGTGCGTAGCTTCAGGTCGTCCGAGTGGTAAAACGCCTGAACGGCACCCACGATGCCATCCAAGTCCATCCTGCTCCACTCCCACAGACGCACACTCGACTGCACACACACACACACACAGCACAGCTCACAGCAAGGCAGCAGTCGAAGCAGGCGTTCACTGTCGTCTTGTCTTGTCTTCCCTTGCTTCTTGCTTGTTGCCGTTATTCGTTCGTTGTTCGTGTGTGAATTTCGTTGTGTGTGTGTGTGTGTGAAGCACAAGAACGAAGACAAGACGCGCTCTCTGCTCTCCTCTGGCTTTGCTTTGCTGTGCTGTGTTTGCTGTGTGCACTGACGAGGAACAAGCAGCATGGCAAGCGGCAACGGTGGCGGACAGGAGCCGGCCTGGTATCGTGGGCCCTTCTTGAAGCTGACGGCCACCGCCTCCTTGATATGGACCCTTGGTGTCACTGTCGTCATTGCGGTTGTACGCACAGCTCTGCTGGCTTCAGGTAGGGTGGATTGGTGGGCATGCACTGTTCCGTGCATTCATACATGTATGTGTGCGTGCGTGTGCGTGTGTGCGTATGTGCGTGTGTGTGTGTCTATGCACACGTGTGTGTGTGTGTGTGTGTGTGTGTGTGTGTGTGTGTGTGTGTGTGTGTGTGTGTGTGTGTGTGTGTGTGTGTGTGTGTGTGTGTGGGTGGGTGGGTGGGTGGGTGCGCGCGCGAAGAAAACAGTGTACATGGCACTGACATCAAGTGTGCATATCGTGATGCAGATGCACTACCAGCGTCGTACATCAGCGTGGCCGCAGCCGTCGTCGGGTCGACAGCGCTCGTGTTCTACCATCGCGCCAACTCACAAGGTGTGTGTGTGTGTCTATGTTTTGCGTGTCTGTATGTGGCTCTCTTGCTCTTTCTGTTCTATCTCTCTGTCTCTTCTCTGTATCGGTCTCCTATCATCTTCCGTGAACGCTTGTGTTTCACACGCTTGCTTCAACTGACACACGCTCACACGCTCTTATTCCTCTGGAGCAGCAACACCACCGTCGGCGCGAAGCAGATATCAGCGGTACATTGAGCCACTGTTGCTGCGGTCGACTTTGGTGCTCTTTGCACTGCACATGCTGGTGTGTCTCGCATCCACGAGCAACACCAACCTAAGCAAATCGTCTGCGCAGCACACTCCCAATGGCACCGACAACGACAGCAGGTGCGTGTGTGTGAATGTGTGTGTGTGTGGGTGTGGGGGGGGGAAGTGAATGTGTGTGTGTGTGTGTTTGAATGCGTGTGTGTGCGTGTGTATTCACGTGTCAGAGAGTATGAGCGGACCGACTTGTACACGATAGAATGGAGGAGTACCACGTGCCAACAAATACACTCACTCACTCTCATTCACACACACACACACACACACACTCACTCACTCTCACGTATTTGCCTCACTCGGGTATCGTTGTCGTTCATGAATCGAGCAGGGCTGTCATCATCACGGTGTATGACGAAGCGGTGCTGCGAGTGTTTGTTGCCATCACCACCGCTGCGCTGCTGACCCTGGACCATATCTACAGCAGCAAGGTACGCACTCGCAACACAGCCGCACGTGTTGCTTCACAACTGCATATGTCGCAGTCACAGTCACGCATCGCTTGACAGCACACACCAATCATTGACTGTCTCCTCCTCATGTCAACACACATACGCATCCACACACACACACACACACTCAATCACATACATACACGCAAACATACATACATGCATACATACACGTTCATAGGCGCTACTGCGGTACCCGGCACAGCAAGGGGCACTGATTCTGCGCATCAAGACGAGCGTGCGCGCAGCACTCGAGCGCGCACACGACCTGGCCCTTCACATTGTCTTCCTCACAGCCATCGGTACGTACGCGCGTGCGTGCGTGCGTGCGTGCGTGTGTGTGTGCGTGTGTGTGTGTGTGTGTGTGTGTGTGCGTGCGTGCGTGTGTGTGCGTGTGTGTGTCTGTGTGTGTGTGTGTGTTGTGTTGTGTTTGTCTGCCTATGTGTTGTTGTTCTGATGATTACATCCCCCTCCCCCTCCTATCATGTCTCACACGCGCCGCTGCCATGATCACAGGCCACTTTGTTGTTGCTGAGTTGTGTGGAAACGCGTACGAGCAAGTGCTCTCGCTGCTTCTCAACCCCATGCAGCACGACCACACCCACATCCACATCGAGGAGGTGTGTGTGTGTGTGTGTGTGTGTGTGTGTGTGTGTGTGTGTGTGTGTGTGTGTGTGTGTGTGTGTGTGTGTGTGTGTGTGT